ATGACACAGCGCAAGGGACGTGGCTACGCACTCCTCACCCTGACTCCTGTGGCTGACATGCTCTGCTCACCCTGATGTGCTCTGGAAGGCTGGGGCTGACACCAGCTGTCCTCTTTCATCTCCCCATCCTGTCTTATGCTGTAGGCCATTGGATCCAGCTCACTGCCCTTTCCTCCCTGAATGCCCTAAGGCTCCATTCCAGCCCTTATCTATCACCCTCCATGATCTCAGGCTTGTCTCAGCCTAGCAGTAGGCTGTCTTTTGCTGCAGGCCATCCTTTCCTTCTTTGCCTATTCCACCCTGAAAATCTGCATGTAGGTGCGCTATGATCTCAACAATTAGCTGATAAGCGCGCCACTAAGTCATGCTTGTCTTGTGTACCCTATCCCCTGCTCCTGGTGCTTTCTAGCCAGCCACTACCATCCAAACCTGTGTTTATACGCCTGTTTCAGATCACTACCAAGTGAAGTTATCAGGAACACCTTTTGAACATCCATGGCCAGGACTGCTGTGAGCTTTCCCTCCAGTCCTCCTGCCCAGTCACAGGCGTGCTAATGCCAGAGCCAGCCCAGGGGGTGCTGCTGTACCACCTGTAGTGATTTGGAGCAGCAATCACAGCTGTGATCCCTTGCCATCAAACTACAGTGAACTTCACTCAGCAACTCTGAGAGTCTCCTTGGGGTTCTGTGGAAGGTGACTGCACCAAGCTGGCCAGCAGGCTGCAGATCTGACTTCTTAGGGATCCCCATCTCTGCTGGAAATTAAAACAAAATGTGTTGGAAGACATAGAACTAGATAATGCAAGAGACAGTGGCACTGAATGTGATATTCACTGCAGTCAGAAGGTGCTATGGAATTTTTCAATGTGTGATTGGATCTCTGCAGCCTCAGCTCTGGAGGTGGAGGGAAGGAGCCCAGGAGCCAGTGGCAGTGGGCCCTGGAGGTAGGGAAGGAGCATTTTGATGGCACTTGGCAGAGATGTTGATCAGTTCCCACATGGTACAACACCTTGCTGTATAGCTGGAAACACAGCATCAGGCGAGGTGCCTGAAAGGCCAAAGCTGTGCCCTGTGGTGTGCTCATGTTTGGTCAGACGGTCTCCATGCCACATCCCTACAGCTGCAATCAGGCTTCTGTGGCACAACACAGACACCACCTCAATAGCAGAAAGGCATCGCCTGACAGCAGCTTGCAAGGCCTGATGGCACCATTAGGAAATGAGCCCTAAGGAATCAGAATCAAAGAGATGGGAGAACATCATTTAAACATGCCTTAGCAGAATGCCGTGTCTGAGCACACGTTCCATCTCCCTGCAGGCACAGCACAGCTGCAGAGGGCCTGGGGAGCACAGGGGCACAAAGGCCTTGTCGCCTCCTTGGTGACAGAGCATCCATCCCTGAATGGCTCTGGGCAGCACTGGGCCCCATGTGTGCGCCTGCACTGAGCACAGGCCTCAGCTATGGGGAGGGGAGCAGGCTCAGGTTCCACCACGTCTTCTACGGGCGCCCTCTGTGCTGCCTCCACAAGTCTTTGTGGCAGCACAACATCAGTGTCTTTTACCTTGCTTACTTGCCTCTTTTGATAGAGCTTTCTTGCCCACATGGTTTCCCCACCTGCCCAACCCAGGAGCTGGGCCAGCCCCTTGGGAAGATGGATCGGTTAATATTTACTCCATGCTCTGGAGATAGCACTGTTTACATCTAATTACATTTTGTGCCCTCGTGTGATAATGTTCATCTTGGATTAGAGGGGATTAGTTGTTAATGACATTCCTGTACATACCAGTCCCCTCCAGGGCTTTGATTTCTGCTGAGGTTTTTCGTTCTGTGTTCAAATCAGCAAACTGCCCCTGGTTGTATTAACCATGGAAACAAAGATTTTTGGGTGGCTTAAACCAAAGCTGGATGGTAGCTGGGTATGTCCCAGCCAAGCACAGGTGGAATGTAGGAATGCTGGAGGGCTCTGGCACGAACTTGGAACCACAGTGCTATGTGCCTCAGCATCCTTAAACCTTCAGCAGGGCAGGGAGATGTGTGCTGGGCTCCAACGCGATGCTGTCAAGTTATTAAGTGCAAATCTCAGTTAATATTTAGCACTAGCCCAAATGGTGCAGATTACAGAATTCCAAAGCAAATGGAGTGAAAACTCATATGCTGGGCAAAATACTACAGAGACAACATTCCCGGTGTCCCCACCACCACATCCCCAGTCTGCTGCAGTTTTCTAAAGTGGGAGCCTCTGCAACCAGGTATAAAATATGCACCTGCAACAAAAATTTGGTGGGAACAGGTCAAGTGGGATCTCTGCAAAGTAGCCAAGGTCCTGCAGACCTCCCTAAGGCATGAAATGGGCGCTCAGCACGGCTGCATAGGGATGGCAGGCGAACCCTATCAGCAAGTGTTGCTGAGACCGAGTGAAACACGTAGCCAAGTGCCAGGAGGAGATTGCCTTCCCTGACACTGCAGCTGGGAGCAGAGGCTCACGGTCTTACCTTGGCATGGCAGCAGCATCTGTCTGAGGGGGAAGATGCTCACAGATCAAGGTAGGCCACGTCACATCAGAAACTGAAAATATCAGATGGGATTTTTTGGAGAATGCTTTATATCAGTAAGCTGAGGGTACAGCAGCTCTGGAAAGTGAGTGGCAGGAGAGTGAATTTTCACTGAAAAAAGGAGAACCCAGAACAACAACATTATAAAGAAAAGAAGTTTGGATCAGCACCAGAAATTGGAGGCATTTGCTTTGCTAGAAGCTAACCTGTAGCACAACAAGCACCAGGAAGATACAAAGCAGGATTCTGGGGTCATGGAAGTCACCAGGGTGGCTCCCTCCTCCATTTTTGGCTATCCATTTTAAATAGGGGTGGTTGTGGAAGTGTTGACAAACAACGAGTGCCATGAATGGGCCCTTCCAGCTGCGTTTAGGGCACAGCAGGGCCAAAAGCTGCCCGGGGCTGCAGGTACCTCCCTGCAGGAAAAAGCAGGAAAAAACTGGTGGGGAGTGGAGAGCAGTGGGAACAGATTAAGAAAGCAGCTCCTATTTATAGAGCAGCAGCAAGAAACTGCCCCAACAGCAGGGCTGCTGCGTAACCCTTCCAGTACTGAGCATCAGTGCAGCAGGCTCAGCTGATGCCAGGCATGGACAAAGCAGAGGAGATGCTGCACCGGAGTGCCCTGCAGGACAGGGGCAGGAGACTGGGCCTTACCAGGGCTCTCCCCAGAAAGGAGCACAGTGACCAAGGGTTGTGCTTCTCCAGGAACAGAGGAGGGATCAGGGTGTAACTGGATCACTGGGGCAGAGGACTGCTTCTGGAAGAGCCCATCCCAATGGTGGCTGGGGCAAGGAGCATGCAGCTCTCAGCACAGGGAACTTCCCCTGAGGACCCCACAGATATAGGTCTCAGCCCGCTGCTGCCTCTTCCCAGCAAGACGTTCCAGCTGTTCTCCCACTAGCTTGTGATAATAGCTGTTTTTACAAGATTTTCTTTACTTCTTAATTGATCTAAATCCTTTCCCTTGGCTTTCTTGTTAAAGGTGGATTTAAAGAGGAGTTCATTATCTCAGCCATTTTTGAGCTGTTATTAATTTCATCCCTCTCCTCATTAATTACTCGTTACCCCTCTCTACACCCCGTAATCCCCCCGGTCCCATGTCAGCTCATTCTGGTTCTCGCTGCCCTCACACTCCCTTGGCTGCTCCCAGGCGATGTTTTTCCTTCTCCTGCTCCTGAGCAGTTCCTTCCTGCTGCTCCTTGTCTTGCTCACATGTGGCACTGAGCTCCCGGCCCAAGGAGATGGGTTCACTCTTGGTATGCTTTCCCAGCAGCTTTAAGCCCAAACATCTTATTCTTTAACTGGAGAAAATGAAGACGGGGCCCTTAGTCCAGATCTGCTTAGCAGCTCCTCGGTATATCCCCTATAGCAGGGATATGGTTGCATGGTGCCAGGCTGCAGGGAGACCAGCTGACAGAGCCTGCAGGGCAGGGCGAGATATGCCAGGATCACACTCTCAGCCTTTTCACTGACAGCAGCAACTTTGCAGCGCACGAGCACCCCCAGCATGAGCACCCCCAGCATGAGCACCCCCAGCAGCAGTCAACCCTCATCCCCCATCTGTGAAGCAGTCAAGTAGTTTAGGGCTACAGGGTGCTTTGCACATGAGAGCTGCGAGATTCTCCGAGAATGTTTGGTGAACAAACATCCCATTGTCAAAGCGCTGCCGTCTTCCTCCACAACACGCTTTGGCATGTGCAGGAGTCAAGGACAGGAACCAAGAAGTAAAGTGAGATTATGTTCTTCTGCTCCTTGCTGCAGGACGCTCCAGGTGGGCTCCTCACTTGCTGCAGCTGCATCTCACAGAGCCACGGCTTCATCTTAGCATTCACTCTGAGTGACAGATCAAGGAGCCAGTGGAAGCCAGGCGTGGTACACAGATGCTCTGCATCTGCAGGGTGGTCCCCTGCTAAGCCCTCCCAAGAGGGTTTTCCATGGACTGACCCTTTAAGCATTGTTAGTGACATCCAACTGTCCAGGCTGCTCATCTCAAACCACATTTGTGATGCCTCAGCCTTCAGAGCTTTTCCAAAGCCCCCACAACTCTACGGCAAAATTAAGCCCACATCCGGAGCTTTACAAGACACAGACACGAGCGCTCTGTCATCTGTCCCCTTTCTAAGAGCCACAGATGCCTGGCCCTGCAGTCCCATGGCTGCTCCATCAGGACAGAGCTCCATCTCCAAGATGTGCCAAGTCCCCACTCCCAGAGCTGCAGTCCGGTCCCTGTTCCCGCACACAACACAGGAGGTCCATCTGCACGAGGCAGCAGCAGCCCTTTGCCAAAAGGTTCAGTGTATTTTTCAACACAGAGAGCGAATCCTTGAGAAGCAAAAGGTTCACAGAGAGCAAAACTTTTACAAGCAAAGGCTGCTGGAGTGGGAGATGCGCTGGACAACGCACCTCCATTGATGCTCCTCTCCTGAAAACAAACCCAAGTTCCACTTGCTCTAGGGCAAACTCAAAAGGTTTTATTTTATTTTTTTATTTTTTTTTTTTAGCAAATTCTATCACGTAAATGTTAACAAAAAAACATCTGTACAATTGCCATGATACACTCAAAAGTGAAACAAACAAGATATAAATACAGATATGGATGAAACATGACAAAAGCAGAAAAAATAGAAAAAAATACATGCGCATGAACACGGTGCCAACAAAGTCATTTCTCAAGGCTGGCGTTTTTAGAGAGGTTTTAATTCCCATTTCAAACATTGTTAGCAACATTGTTCTGCTGTATTCTACAAAGGTCTATTTTCCTGTCCCTTAGCATGTAATATTATGCTTGATAAATAAAGGGGTGGGGAGAAAAGGTTCGGATGACAAAGATGTGAGTTAGGTTACTTATAGAGGTTATTGGAAAGCTAGTAGTAAGCGATAAAAAAAGACAGTCTCGTATTGTAATCCAGGCAAGCACACATAGTGTACCTTAAGAAAGCCACATGCCTCGATAATTCTGCACTACATGAGAACTACGGTACGCAGACCAGGGGGCAGATGGATCCATATTCGCCCATGCCCACGGAGCACCGGCGCAGCCAATGGCAGAAAAACGCATCCGCATCTGAGATATTTCTGCAACCTTGCAGCCAGGAGCCGCTCGCTGTCTGCTGAGAGTTCTCTCCCATTCAGACTTAAAGCATGGTGGGCAAGGAAAAAAGAAAAACACTTTTTTTTTTTTTTTTTTTTTTTTTTTAAAGTATGAAAAGTTGAAGCCCTGCATAATGGGCAGCAAGGAAAAAAAGGCAGCTGCAGTAGATGGCTACTGCTGGGAGAGGGTGAACACAAGCTTCACCGGTGCGGTGAGGCACTGCCCGCATGCAGATCGTTCTCTGCAAACATGCGTGGACACTGCGGTCTGTAGCCAGAGAGACCTTTATGCTTGCTGAAGAGAGAACAAAACGATTGTACAGCTGTTTGAAGTCAGAATGCTGAGATCAGAGAGGTGACATTCAGAGCTAGCCCTTTGAGTACTTCAAAGGAAAAAAAAGATCATGTTCAACATACTAAACGACCCTACTATGTACATTATACGCAATGTTTTATAAATACCTAAGCAGAATGCCCCCTACTGTATACAGGTATAACATACTTCTAGAGTACTCAAAGGATGAACAGTCCTCGACTGACTCACGTAATGAAAGAAAGGAACACAATGAGCATCTGTTGACAAACAGAACGGCATCTGATTACGAAAGTAAGGCCTGGTTCTACTATTTTGCAGCCCCACGTGTGCCAATGGTATCCGAGAAACAGGCGTTCACCTCTGCAGCCACAAAGCACGGCAGATTTCACACCTATTCCCATAGGACGAGCTGTTAACTCCTTCTTTAGTGTCAGCACAGGCGCCAGGGTCAGTTCAGGGACATTACAGTGCGTTCACTCTCAGTGCATACTAACAGGATTTTATAAAACACAAAATCATTTGAGAAGGAATTCAATTCCTGGAGGTTTGCTACAGTGTGCCATTCAAAAAAAACCTAAACAAAACAAAACAAAAAACCCCAAAAAGCTCCATCACAGCTGGAAGGAACTAAGCGCCATGTAGTCAGCTATGCTGACTGCTGAACCCCAGGACTGGAACAGAAGATGGTGAACTGAGATGGGGAGAAAGAGAGGCATAAATAGTAAGCAGTTAGAGTAAAAATTGGGGAGAAAAAAAAAAAAAAAAAGGAAAAAAAAACCCAAACCCACTACTAAAATTCAAACAAGACAGCTAACTGCTGCCAACGAGTTGGCTGAACATTTCCTCAAAAGGGAAAATAAATTCACATTAAACTAAAATAATTTGAATCATTCAAAAAAATTAAAAATAAAAAAAAAAAAAAAAAACACACAAAACTCTAACAAGCATACTGAAAGGTGTTGAAAAGGAATGGTCCACGGACAGGGAGACACCAACCATGGAGCAGCCAATCCTCTCCCAAGCAAGGATGGCTCTTCTGAGCCAGCAGAGAGGGCCTGGAGGAATCCCACTACCAGACCACGGGTTTCCCCTCTGGCCACAGCACTGGGGAGCATAAGGGATCAAGCCCTGCAGTCAGCCCAAGCCTGGACTCATCCCAATGACCTCAGGAACAGGTCACCTCTGCTGCCACGGCAGCCAGGTGACGAGGCTGGGAAAGCCTCACAAACCTCAGCTCTTCTGGAGCTGCACCAGTCAGCACCTTCCAGCACAACTCCTCATGGCTGGGGCTGAGCTACAGGAGCACAAACTGATGGAGAGGGAGGGCCGCAAGGCTTTATCCTCTTTACTGTGCTTCCCTGCTGCAGTTCTGGCAATGCTCACATGCTGCCACTGAGTCTGCTACCAAGGTGTCCCTTCAGCTCCTCAAAGGGGAAATGAAGGGGGCTGCAGAGAGACCAAGGCACTGAGAGCAGCCTGGGAACACACACTGCAGGTCCATCATCCTCCTGCAATCACTGTCACTGGGGGAAAAAACCCAGTTCTCATCCATGGCAGGTTGGGGTGGGCCTGTCTGTCAGCCAGGATCCAGCCTAGGGCCAAACGCAGCACAAGCATCCTCCTGCTCCCCCCAGTCACAAGCAGCAGGCACTCAGCCACTGCCAACAGAAGCTTGGAGCAGGACGGTGCTTTGGGGTACCTGCTGCTGCTGGTTTGGCTCTTACCTGGTCTGTGTCACAGTCTAGCACATCCCTCCAAAATGCAAAGCACCCAGCAGGGTTGTGCGTGGGAAGAAGGAGGCTTCTAAAGGCAGAAGACAGCACTGCAGGCTCTTCGGGCACAAGACAGGAACAGCAGCAGGTGAGCAGCACTATCCCAGCCAACTCTTAGCTTCCACAGGGTTGTTTTGTCCAGCTTCAGATTCCCTTTCTGTCCTCTTGGATGAACAGTCTGCCCAAAGCACACTGGATTTGTGTGGATAAAGCCATTTACCACCAACATCGATGGGTCCCGGTTAAAGTGGCAGATCAATCCTTTGACGCTACAGACTTCAGGAAGAACTCAGCCAGCCTCACAAGGCAGCACTGCAATACAGCCTTGGCAGCTCTGACTGTCCACCCAAGGATGCACCCAAGCCCAATCCAACACCCACTGTGCTCATGTCCAAACGCAGGCACCAGTCTCAGAACAACATCTGAGGTTCCCTTTGGGGAGTAACAAGTAACCTGAAGAGTCTCGAGCACATGAAAGAGCCAAATGGGTTGGAAGAGGGGAAATATTTACAGTCAACAAAAGTAGCGAGAGCCCAGTTGCTCTACAAAGCACAGCTGGCTGGAGAGCAGTTAGAGAGATCAGCCATCAGAGGTCTGTCAGAAGAACTATATACAGAAAACTCAGATATTTAAAAAGAACCTACTTTTTCATTACTCACTTGATATCTCAGTATTAAAGCATTAGAGGCTGGAACCACAGCCACATCAGCAAAGATCTCCTCGTGGAGAACCCTGCACATTAGGCAAGCTGCGATAGGAAGTACAAAACAGGACCACAGGACTTGTGAGAGGAGATCCTAGCCAGAAAGGCTGCGGCCACAGGGAAAGAGCAGTAACTAGCGCACAGAAACCAAAACTGGGTATGAACTAAACCAAGATTTGTTTAACTTTTACGCGTATCCAGGTTTTTTGACTCTTTTGGAATGCTAACCTAAACATATTTCCAAGATTTCAGCAGGCTATACAATATGTTTAAGTATGGCTTTCTGTTGTTCACTTTTAATGAAGACTGCAACACAGACCTTGCTTCCTTTACATTCAATACCAGTAAGGTTTTACATGAAAGCTTTAAGGGACTAGAATACTGATTGCAATAAATATCTGCATGGCCTCCTTTAGCTGATGAAGTGCGCCAGTGAAGAGTAGCAGAAAGGTCTCTGAGAGGCACCGTTGATTGCTTCTAAGTCTACACATATGTCCACATATCTCCATTAACTGTGCGTTGAAACATCTGAAGAGGAGCTGCTGTTGCTGTTGGTAGTTTGGGCCCTCTTTATGTACAAGTTTAGTAGCTTCATCTGGAAGAAACAACAAACATCAGGAGAAGATGCCAGGAAAAACAGATGGACAAAAACTGACTGTGAGTCTTAACTACAGATTCAGTGAGCACTGTTAGAGCAAGTTAGCACCAGGCATTTCAGAACATGCAGAACCAGGAGAGGAAGCCTGGTCCAACTTAGTTTTAATTTAATAATATTTAAACTGTATGTAGAAAAACAGTTGTGTTTCACTTCAGCAGTCATCAATTCACAGCCCTCAGCCCTGCAGATTGCTCTAGGAGAGCAGGATTCCCACAAAGGTCAGTGGGACTGCAGACAGGTACGGAATTCGCTCACACTGCAGTAATCCAAGAGCTGTGGTCCCTCCTAGGAAACAGCCTGAACTCACTATGCTTGGAGAAGAGAGGCGAGATGGGCTTTGTTTTTCACAAAACATTCATTTTTAATGATATTTAAGTATCTTCACTACTTGGTTCCTCTAGTGAAACTGCAGCTGTTATGACTACGCACTTCCTTTGCAAGGGGTTGCTTTCTCATTCTGCCTTACCACCTTAGGCCCAGATCCTGAAATAATGACTCATGCACGTATTTAACTTTAAACACGTAGGCAGCCTGCATAAACTAGGAAGAATTACTCACATGTTTACAGTTAGTTATGTGGTGGAGTATATCCATGGCACCCAGGATACTGGGATTATAAAGCCCCTACAACGTTTTATAGAGGAATCTCCCAACCGCCCAAACATAAATGAGGTAAGTCTCAACATTCACAGCTCTTTTTCCAGAGCAAATGGGAGGTGAAAGTAACTTAAGGACACAACCCAGAAATAAAGTCCAAGTGTCTTAAATCTCAGTTCTGTTTCAGCCTAAACCACGCTTCCTACCCATTAAAGAAACCACTGGTTCAAAACATCCAGACGAAGCCCTCTGAACTAAGTAGCTTTTCACATTCAGAGACAACAATGCAGAATTGATCTTAAAATGGCAAAGAAATCTCAGGTATTATGACTTCAATCGGGAGAAGCCTTGTGACAGCTTCCTGAATGCCAGCTTTTGTCTGAAGGACAGAGCTGAACTGAAGTCTGACTTCATCTGCAGCATCAGGTCAGAATTCAAGTTTTGCTTCTAACATAAGCATGGGTAGAAAAGCGTTTGAAAAGTCATTCAAATTTGCCAGTGTCCAAGAAGAAAAGGACACATCTGCAATGCTATTAAGAGCAAAGCTCCACCTGCTTTTCTACCAGCCCTAATTATGACCTGCTGCTGAAAGGAGCAGTCTTGCTCTCCCACCCATCCCAACCATGCATTCTCACCACTCTTCACATTAGATTAACTGTCAAGCCATAGAGTGAGCTACAAACAATTTAATATTACAGATTTGTTTGTTTTTTTTAACAAGTGAAGCCAGCTGATGCAACTGACTGCATTTTCACCTAACAACGCAATGCAGAAGAGCTAAGGAAAGCATGACTGTCATGGGAATGACCAGCTCAGTAGCAGCTTGCAGTTGCACAGGATCAAATGCATCAAGAAACCAATCCCTGAATCCACTTCAAAAATTGCTCTGCAGGGTCCAAAATGCTCACACTGCTGGACAAGATCTGTTGCTCTAGTGGTGTTGGCAGGACCAGTTAGTCTAACACATTAGGGTTTAACACAGTACAGGGAATTTGACCCAGAGCTAGCATGAACGCATTGGCTGTTGTCATAATACCAAAGGCATTATACTCCCATACCTTGCTTCCTGTGAGTTGTGCGAGATGAGGTTTCAGTTCTTCACCAATTACTGAATAAATTGCCACCAGACAAAATACACTAGCTTTACGGACACTGCTCTCTGTATTATCATAACCCTGGGAAACAAGAAAAATGGTCACAAACAGCACACACCAACATCCTTACCAATCAATACACTGAAGAGTAGTTTAGGCTACCAGATTAATAGAAAGGCTCTGGCAATATGAACACTCAAAGAGCAAGAGAATACAGCATATCCAGCACGTTCTATTTATTCTATATAATATCCTTTCTGTAATGTCCTCATATTAGGCTATGAATTTATAAGTTATTAATGTCTTAGGTTTTATGTCATTAAGGAAGAACAGTTTCCAATCAGGCGGATTATCCTGATTCCAATCTGCCCAATCATTTCCAATCATTCTATCAGTTACACACATTCCCGTGTCCAGTTCAGATGACCTTATGCCATATGTGATCATCAGGACATCTTGGACACAGTGCTCTGAGTGTGCCCACAGGTAAGTCTTTCCTGACCCAAACCCAACCACCTAAAGGAAATAGGTGAGCAAAAGACAGATGAAATTTCCAGCAAAATGGCCTAATGATTTATATCATTTAGAATATGAAAAACAAAACATTGTTTGGTGAATAGATGTTCTATCCAGATAAGCATTTGGATAGAATAACTGTACTCAAGCATTCAAAATTGCAGAAGTCATCATCATTATGGATTATTCTTTTGCCGGGAAAGCCATGAGGAGTGATGCTACAGGGCTGGGGCTGCCCACTAGCAGGGCTAATGTTCTAGCTGCAAGGCCAAAATGCAGTCTGACATTACAGCCTGCAAACTCAAAGAGCACCACATCCCAAAGAGCAGGAGTTGGTCTGGATGCAGCTGAGAAGTTAAAGGCCAGAGTCACACACAAAAACTATTTTTGTCAGCACACCAGCTATTTGTTGGGATGCCTCATTTTCTACAGCACAGCAAGGCCTCTACTGCAGGCATATCAGTGTCCCATCTTTACCCTCACCAGGCAGCCTAACCACCGCTAACACAGCCAGGCCTCTTCTTGCTCTCCTCCATTAACGGTGCATTCCTTTCTCTAAACAATCAGGGCCTGCTTCAACAGGAGATGTGGACAGTGCCTCATCCCACAGCAGCCCTGCTATGTGGCTAGGGCATGTCTTTGTGGAAGGAGCAGGAGTGCTGTGACTCTGCCAGCCTCAGATCACTGTGACAGCTACACCCATCTCCATGCCTATGAGGCCCTGCCAGGTTGGGCTTTGTCTCTCACCAGTAGGAGACACCTATGGGCTGCTCCCCCTGCAGCGTGGGACCCAAAAGAACAACAGCTGAGACTGAGGAACTGCAAGCACTCCCCACCAAACCCCTCTAAGAGCTCTGCACTGCAATTTGCACCCAAACCCAGGTTCTCGACAGAGTCACAGCCAAGACTGTTTTATGTACTGAGATCCCTATCTGTTCACATGGGCCATGGGCATCCTGCTGTGGTGCTGAGCTGTACACTTGTATTCACATAAGCACTGTTGGACACCTTGCCTGTTCACCACTGCTGTTACCCTCACCAAGATAAACAGCCACAGTGCATATCCCTACATACTTTCTAAATATGAGAAGTAGATTCCTTTGATCATTATGATTCCTCATTCAAGGAAATAACACTGGCAGCCCCAAGGTGAAAAATCACAAAGACACGGAAGCCATTTAATAAAGCAAATATATCTTTTTGTGCTTTTAAAGGCATGATGTTCCCAAGCACTTCCACTGCACTGAAGCTCCCTTGTCTAGGTTGTTGTCACCAACAACAATGGCTAAAAACTTCTTAAAACAAAAGTTCACATCAATACAGAATTGCCTGATTCCCAGAGTTTAAGAAAAGAACTGCAAAAGCTTATGTGACAAAGTTGGACAAACACTAGGATGCATCAGGGAAAATCCTGACTTTGCCCTTGTCCTTCTGCTCTTTATGCTCACAAAAAGGATGCTTCTTTATCCTAATTCTCCACTGAAGTTTTACTCGCCTACAGGTATGAACTCTTTCACAAGGACCAATTTGTTCTTGCCACAATCCCCTCCCCCCCCCAGTAAACACACTGGTTCACTCCTTTGTTATTTTCATCATGCTTTGTCTCACTCCAAAAGCTTAGTCCTGCCAGCTGCTTGTGCAAGGGGACTGAATACAACCCCACTACGGCCAGCACTGAAAGATAAATTCACAATGTAAGATCAAGTCTTAGTGCTGGCAAAAACACAGCTCCCCACCCAGGGTTATGAAAGAGACTGAAGATTGAGCATTTAGTCTTAATTTCAGAGAGAAAATAGTCCTTCCTATCTGTCCTGCTGTGCTCCAAATTCATGCGCAAAGTACACTCAAAGTACAGAACATCTCAGTGTTCGTTTGTGCTCAACGAGCATTTGTGATGTGAGATTCTATACCTGTAACAATCCAGGAATAATATCAGGAAGGAGTTGATGCAATGATTCCTTGGAAATCCTCTCTATGACCTTTGTCTGCATCTTGATGGCAGCTAAATTAATTGGATAATCTGCTGTCTGAATGATGGGGCAAAGCACCTTGATGCATTGCTCAGGATGGATGGAGCTTGCCAGGGTAGAAGCAGCTTCCTCAGCAGCTCTGACGACCTGAAAGGAAAGCACAGCAAAACCTTGCATTAATGAGGCTGCACAGCCAAAAACACCTGTGCATATTAGGAATGAATACCAGGAAATACTTGGGGATGTTTATTAATAAAACAGCAAGAGGCTCGTCTGAGAGGAGATCAAGTATAAGAATTCACGTTCTTTACCTCCAGAGACATGTTTGTTCCAGCCAGACAGTGGTACACAGTTCCTCCTGCCTGAAGTAACCATGTCAAAGTTTGAGAGTCATCCACCACCCAAGACAGACAGGCACTGCTGCCCTGTTAGGTCAGCACTCTAGCCACTGGCAGGGAACATAAACCCATCAGCTTAAACTTAATACGAAATACAATTGCTTAATACTACAATGAGTGACGTTGTGCTTTTTAATATGCATCTGCCTTGCTGAATGCTTGGGTGTCCAAGCTGAGAAAACCATGCCTGCACACGTGTGTCCTGCCAAGTCCCAGCTAAGCACTGCTGTGCTCAAATCCAGGCTATGGAGCCAAGCAAGATTCAGGATAATCTATAACCAGGCAACAGTGCTCTGAGCATATTTAATACATGAAGGCAGTGCTGGGACACTATAAAACATGAGAGGAAGAAGAAGTGGAAACAGTGGCAGCACCCACCTTTAGTAGGTGCTTCACTCTGTAAAGCAGACACACAGGATGAGAGAGGTCCTAAACTCAGTACTACCCTTCACCCATGAAAGGGAAATCCACAGATTTCACACTATTCCCCAGTGGATAGGACAGTTAGATGAAAGAGGAAGGACCTGAATTTCTTCTCCGATGAGAGTTTATTTTACATTCTGCAGTAATTGGATTAAAAAAAAAAAAAAAAAAAAATCACAAGATGGGAAACAAGTTTTCTTTCTTCAAGTGTATGTGCCAATTGCCAGGCAACAAACTCAAGGAAAATGTGTCCCAGACAATAAGGAAAAAAAAAAAAGACACCAAAACAAGTGAAGCCACAGGTCAATCACTTAGACTGAAGCCGTGACTACTGAATTCTCTTCAATCCCTTCTTCCACACAAAATGGAATCAAACTTGGCGGTTTCTCTTTGACTCAGGCAACTCATAAACAGATACAGCTCTATCAAAGCCCCAAAAGATGAACTTTTGAAAGGAACTAATGTGGATAACGTATGTAGCAGGAGTATTTGGAAGTTTATCCTAGTCCTCACTAGGACAGCAATCTCTCTCTGCCTGGACTACAAAACATTTTTCAGAAAGGACTAATTGATTTTAAGACAGAAGCAATGAAGAATGACCAGCACAGATACACTACTGATTTAACAGAAGAGATTATCCCCATCTACAAAACCTGCTTCACCCACAGCTTTAACTCATCATGACTACAACACAGTGACTGATCCTCTACTCGTGTTGACAGCTGCCTCCCTGAAACAGGTATGGCCAAAGGTTACTTGTGCACCTGTGGAACATCCAACAATAAAAGTGATTTTAGATGGTTCACGTGGTACAAACATTGTATTTAGGCAAGGCACAGGCAGGAGCCAATCTGAGACTCTGATTGCTGAAGTTGTCCACACACTCATCTATCTCAGGCCTTTCTCAGCAATTAAACAGTGTTAAAGCACATTCCAAAAATGGCAATCCACAATGTGGTCAGCATTCAAAAGATTTCATCCTGCAAGATCTGTGAATGAGTAACCAAGCAGAACAGAATGCTTGTTTAGCTCTTCCAGATATTTCTTTGCTAATTCCCTTTTCAATTTCACACATGAGAAGCATGAAAGTTAACATTTTTCCATGCTAGCTAGCTTAGGAGGAAGTACTATTTTTTGAGAGGGAGGGGAAGAGAGAAATACCCAAATAATACCCAAATACTCAAGGAAACCTAATGCCAAAGTTTGGTACTGTGGCACTGAATTGCTAGAATGGCTGCAGTCAGGGGCTCTCAAAAGGTCTCTGTGGAATGTAAGAAGGTTTCTTCAAAGAAATTCACTTCTTGGCACTGCAACTTTTGATGATGTCTCTCCTAGCACTGAAATACTGCTGACATCAAGCTCTCTACAAATAACAGTACAATTACAGAGGGTATGAATACCTCATAATCAGCCCAACGACATTCACAGGCAAGTCATTTTAGCTAAATAAACATACAGATATATATTTATTAAAAGCTTTGTAACTGACCAGACACTGGCCACTTGGAATTTTGCCTTTTAGCAACTCCAAATGCTTTTTGTAAAAGGAAAACTTAGACATACATTACACACATTATCACAAATGACTAAAAATTTTTATTTTTTTATTTTTTTATTTTTTTCCTTTTTTTTTTCTTTCCTTCTTCAGATCCTCGTGGGTCCAGAGAGGTTGTGGATGCCCCGTCCCTGGAGGTGTTCAAGGCCAGATTGGATGGGGCCCTGGACAGCCTGGTCTAGTACCAAATGTGAGGGTTGGTGGCCCTGCATGTGGCAGGGGGTTGGAGATTCATGATCCTTGAGGTCTCTACCAACCCTGGCCATTCTGTGATTCTGTGATTTTACAAGTAATAGCATCTTAGTGTACTTACAGTGTGTACTTACATAGTATGTATGTATGTAGTATGTACTTACAGACGGACTTCATCTAATACACTTCAGTAAATTTGGATTAGGTAAAAATTTCAGTGAGTAACTCTGAGACAGAGCTCTACAACTACTGGCACAGTTATGAGGAGAGTGCACGAGACAAAAACCTTTGTTTTAAAAGCTTATTATTATTTCAAGCACCAAGGCTTGAAATACAGCTGCAATTCTTCACAAAATGAGCCAGGAGTCAAAAGTACAAAGAAAGTCACATGTATTTTGCACATCATAGGGCAGGTTAGAAAAACTGTATAGACATAAGTAGTCTTGCACCTTCACAAGTCCTCCTTTCAACAAAGCTGGCCATTTCTAGCACGCATCTGGCTGTATTTGCACAGCAGTTGGGTATTTCACATCACTTCTCCATGCAGTGCGCATCCTTTGAATACAGAAGGGCAAATTACTCATGTCCAGAAGGCTTCCTGCTGATACTAGCTTGTAAACGTGACAACACCAGAGACATTTCCAAGTCTTTCAAGAGCACATCTGGCAGACAGCATCTGCATCCAAGCCACACTTCAGCATCCCCCTTAAGCGTATATTTGGCTTTAATAACATGCTTGAATCTTACTGACGTCAATCGGACTCAAGCGTGTGCTTACATGCTTGCTTGATTCAGAGGCTCTGCAGGTAACTAGCTGCCATGCAAAGGAACAGCAGGAAACAGGGTGCAGATGAAGGTGCAGGGCAGTACCAGCTGTGGGAGAACCCAGAGGACAAGCCCTTTCCTTCATCTCCACTGACATAGAAAGCCCAAACGCCACCACTCTGCAATGCAAATAGCAGTCCTGCCCAGAAGGTCTTTGATTCTGACTTTGACAGAGAAAAGCATTTAGCCATCCGGACCAACTGTGCAACCCATGAGGGAATGCTTGTCTCTGAATACTTGCACAGCCCTGCCACAGTTGCATCCCCAGTAATGCCAAAGAAAGGCAGCAACATTCCTGCAGTGAGGGAAACGCATTATCAAAAGCTATGAACTGCCAGGTTTTTTGGCATCAAGGATATGCAATTATAGCTGAGTTTAGTGAAGATATTTTGCCGTGAGGCATAACAACCATGTCTTGCAAATTATACATAACATACAATATAAAAAGTCAAATATCTTTTTAAATCAGGGTTTTAATCTAACCAGAGTAAAACAAACTTAAAAAAAGAGTGGAAGAAATGAGGCAAACATCAAACAACAGCTCTTCCCATCTTTGGGGGGAAGATTGGAAGATAAGACACTGCGGAAGCAATAGGAATGGCCCCACTAGGTTCAAGCTACCAGCAGACACCACCAATCACTATATCCATAAAATGCACACTCTTTAAATGTGGGGAAAAAAAAGTGCTGTTCATTACATGCTCAGATTGAGGAGCTCACTGTCATAGAAGGATGCAGATAATAGATTAAAAAAAATATATAAGGTCACTGAAGAGCCATTAAAGGTAAGCAGACAGAACTTTCAGCTTGGGCCAGGGGGGCTGGAGATTCATGATCCCTGAGATCCCTTCCAACTCTGGCCATTTTGTGATTCTGTGATAGGGAGGGAGGAAGTCTTTGATGAAAAATCACTGCATGCTTGCTAGTCACTGTCTAAAGTAGGATATGGAGCAGAGTTTTTGTCTAACCTAATGCAATTATGTTCAATTATTTCAAAAACACAGAAGAAAACTACTGGAGTGTTCAAATGATGATAACAGCTGGAAGAAAGAAGTTCAAAAGGGTGCCTATGACGCAAGATCTGTAAGACCAGGGAGAGCCTGCAGTGCTTTAAAAATACTGACACTAAGCTGTGTGCAAGGTATGTCACAAACATGACTTTACCTCTAGTAAAAGCTTAAAGCAAACCATGTCTGGAACTGGATAGTTTGATGCCATTCAACACAAGGCAGGTAGACCAGGAATGCAGATCTAAACGATAGCACTTTGCCTTAAAGAAGCAGGTTTTTCTCCTTTCCAAAGGCTTACCTTTTGCTCTACACACACACTAGAGACTAGATTGAGCCTCACTTCTGCTGGCATAACATAAGCTGTTTCCTAGTGGGCTCATTGAACAAATAACATGCCCGCTTCATAGGGATCAGGGCATCAGTGTAACATGTTGAGATCTGAGTAGAGCAGCACCCATATACCTAGATGAGAGTTGTATGGGAGTACATATTACACTGCAAGCTGGAGTACAAATACTAGCTGCACCACCTCTATAAAACACACGGAATTAAGGAGTGCATGTTTTTGTTGTTGTTTCTAAGAGGAAAAGATAAAACACTCAAAAACCTTAAGAGGCTTTTTACTCCACTGTGAAACAAGTAAAGCACCAGAAGTTTACTAGGCAGAAAAACAAGGTTTTGCTTTTGGGCTTACAAGGCACACAACTTTGTTTTTAGAACCAACTTTTGGCATTTAGAGGTGGTTACTTAAAGCCTGCACAACGTAACTTGGAGGGAATGGAGGCTTACCGCTGCCTAGCCAGGCAAACTCCCATCCCTGAAGGGTATACAGTCTAATCCAGACAGGAACAAACAATTAAAGCACTGAGTTTCAAAGCAGGAAGTGGACTCAGCAATGGGGAGCGCTAAGCAGATGAAAAAAAATTAAGAGATTGAGAGGAGGTGAAGTAGATTAGATTGCTTCTCCTGGGTGCTAAATATTTCACGTGTCGGGAATTAGAGGAAGCACAGAAACGTATACAATAAAACATCAACTCCCAAACTGCAGTGCTCGGCAGCTTCCAGCATGGGCTACCAGTTAACTAACCTTAAAGACTGATCACTTCGCATTTTTCTCTAGTAGGCTATGTTGTACTGAAAGTGACACAGAGTGTATCATCATTGGAGGACATTTGCAAATAATCTTATAAATGTCAAGGGTCAGTCTAAAAGCACCTCAAGCCAGTAACAATTAAAGTTAATGGATAGCCGTGATTTGCTCTTTTCACCTTCCTTTAGATCATTACAACAAGGAGTGTTACATCCTAATTATGCCTGTGGATTTCCTGGATAGTAAAAGACCAAAGTTAGGTACCTCATACATGGCTCAAAGTCTTTTCCTTGAACTGAGAAAGTACCAACCAGCTATGTCTACAGGTTTTGCTGCAGAGAAAAACAGAGCAGCAGAAACAAAGCAAAGCATGAGCTGCCCAATGATTAGCAATGGTGAAGATGTTCCTTAACATTTTCACAAGATTTCTACTTTACTTTAGCAAAGAATAAGAACTTATGCTCATTTTGCTGCTATGAATCTGTAGCAATGTCATATCAATGGTACTGGGTCAGCACACAGCATCTCTCCTTAGTTATGGGTGAGTAAGTACACTGGAACAAATGAGTTAATATTAACCAATTGGCAACAGAAAGACAGCTCTTTTCCAAGTAACTCCAAACAAAGAGTGATAAAAATCAACAAGATTTAATACCATCCACAACTTCAATTACATTCTAATGCTCTAAAAGTAAGTGAAAGGCATTTACATGTCAACTCCCATAAATATTTACAGTTCTGACTGAAGCAGGCTTGACTTTTCTCATCATCCCATTTAATTAACAGTACTGTGCAGACTATTATACAACAAACAGAGTAAAAAGAGGCTAGCATTAAAAAGTGCAAACTAAACATGAATCCCAAGTCAGAGACTCCTAGTCTGTAGCCCAGGGTTATGTTAATTTTGGACCTGCATCGAGGTCAGCGCTTTGCTGATTTTTAGTTGCACCCACAGGACAACTCTCAGCATCCACTCCTCATACCAAATTTTCTTCTCTGGTGTCTCTTAGTTGTGCTGCTTCATTGATGCTACACTTTGCCTTCAACAACAGAAGGCCGAAGAGTTCTCACCACAGCAAAGATTCAAGCAATGAAAGGCTTCAGCTTGATTTGGCAAAACACATTCAGACATCCAAATACATCCAACCATGCTAACTTAACATCGATGCTTCCAGCTGTAATAAAACCACAGCCCCTTTTGTTTCAGACACTCTTTTAGCTAGATACTGGCACTCAAATGGAGGAAGATACGGTATTTCACAGGATTGTAGGGGCTGAAAGGGTCCTATAGAGATCATTTATGTCCAAACCCCCAGCTAAAGCAGGTTCCCTAGGTGCCTGTTGGGTTCTGAAAGTGATGATAGCCATGCTGAACACAAGTAATATTGCATTTGTGAAGTCAAATTAACTTTCTTACTGATTTTCAAAGAACTGCCTCTAAGTGCAATGACTTCTTGGAGCCATCTGAGGTTAATGGCCCTGCACTGTGCTCCTTTCCAAACTCCTCTTTCTTTGCTTGGTCATTTTACACTGATTGCCCATTAGCCCAAACATTACAGAAAATGGCAGCAATAACATACAGGCAATTAACAGTTCCTGTGCTGAAGGGGAAACTCAGGTAAGCAAAAGTGAAGTAGGTACAGATCTCTCCAAACAGTAATTTTCTGCTGATTCATGCAGCCTGTCTGAAATGATTTCAACCACAAACCAGTTTTGTTTTCTAATGCAAAGGCAGAAACAAACCCTAGTGAGACGTCCTGTCAGGGCATTACGTTGCTCAGGAATTAGCACTTTCCTAACTTTACTATATAGCAGCTTTCCTCCAAATCATTTTTACAGTATGAAGATTTTATTTTATGCAGTCTAAGGAGAGTATATCCACTGCTCTTAGTATCACTCAGTTTCAGTGAAAAGTAAAACTACAAGACAGATGACTAAGATCTTTCCATTCTTTCTTCAGCTATTCTAAAAGACTTCCAAACTGGTGAATGTTCACTTAGTCTCTCACTGAGTGGGATCAAGTCAAAGGGCAGCTCCTCCACAACCCCAGGAGATAACAGTGCTGCAAAGTCAGCACTGAGTGGGAGCTGGAGAGCCTCTGTTGGATGGGAATCTGTGACATAATGGCTCAGGACTATGAGTTTGACCAACTGAGCCATACCCAAATGGACTCAGTTGGTTTTTGTTTTTTGTTTGTTTGTTTGTTTTTTTTAACAGACATAATGGAATCAACAAATCCCAGCTACAGGTAAAAAAAATACCTACAGCATTTTCACAGGTGTATGTTCATGTAGACACACAAGAGAAGACTGAGAAACTTTTCTTAACTTCATGAATGCTGATGTCCTGAAACTGACAGAGAATTGCCAGTTTTCATGAGTTCCATTTTGGCTCTGAGAACCCCATTTACACAGGGATGAGAAAATAGACATACATAGACTTAAAAATACTATGTTGCAATGGCAACATCCTCAAACTCAGTGGATAAAGTGGGTGGGATACAAATATCATGTACTTGGTTTATTTCTAGAGTGTTGGGGGTTTTTTTTGTTTTTTTTTTTTTGTTTGTTTGTTTTTTTAATATCAGCACATGCCAGGTAACACCAAACACCCGTTCTTTGGGCTGTTCTCTCCTATTACACCACCAGTACCAATACTTAATACAGCTGTACAAACAACTGCTTAGAGATAGAAAAATGGAACTACACCTGCAGTGTCCTGCTACGACAGCCATAACCCAAAGGTCTCACTGGAGCAGTTGTAAATGTGATCTTTTTTAATGATAACAGTGCTATGCAAAACCACTGGGAAAAAAAAAAAAAATAAAAATCAAAGGAATGCTATGTGCAGAACAGCAGCTACTTGCTGAGAGCAATACAGCTCACACTTACTCTTCTATAAAGAAGTGCCAGAACTCATGACTCTTCATTCCTGGCTTGAGTTTTACTTTCTGTTACAAAAGCTGATCCTTCTCTGCTCTTCCTCAGAAGGCATCTCACATGCAAATCTTAAAAAAAACCTGTCCATACTACAAACATGAAGTACATTGTGTGGGGGAGTACAGAGACATGAAAAGTTATGCTGTCAACATTACACCTGATTTCAGTAAAAACTGTCAGTCATACAAGGACAGAGAGCTCTGAAGGGCATTAAAAAACATCAGAGACCATCTGAAAGGTGCTGTAAGTTTGGAAGATTTTGTGGGGAAAAAAAAAAGGGCACTGAGTCAAGGTGAGATGAGAAGTATGTAACCAGGAAAACTTGCCAATAAAAGGCACTCCTTCAGAACACAATGTTTTGTCTGACTATTTTATCAGGAAATCAATTTACAACTGCTTCTTATTACTCTGAACTGAGAACGACAGAAGGGTAAAAGCTCTACATCGAGGAGGACAGGCAGATTGTGGCAGTCTTCATTCACTTAAGGATTAAACATTTTCTGCCTTTGTATTTAAGGGATATCCAGCCTGTTAGGTTCCTTCTTCCCTGTGGGGGTGTATTTGGTTTTGTTTTGATTTTTAAACAGTACAGTTTTGCTATGCACACCTAATGCAGCTTTGTGTCAGTTATGCAATGATCTGGAAGCAGCCTGATCTATACAGTGATCTTTTCCATGGCCAAAAACAGAGATACTTAGCATTGCTAGTTTAGGGCAAGCCTTTTGTAGGGAAGATGAAGAGCTTTAAATTTCAAAGGAAGAAGTTTGGTAAATAAGTCATTGCAGAAACGGACAGAAATTCACGTGCTGTTTTTCAGGGCTTGGTTCAAACTTGCAACACGTGTAAGATAGAAAAGATCTATCTTGGAAGCCAATTTGCAAAGACTGACCTTTAATGTACTTTGATCTACTTCCAATATAACCATCACGTCCCTGTATTTTTTAGTCCAGAATACTTCTAATTTTGCATGAGTTCTCTCACAATAGGAAAATGCATTTCACTCTTCCCTTGGCTTCCTCCTTACTGCCTCAGCTTCTTTCTAGCAGCATGCCCTCTTTGTCCATTTTCATCTGTTATTCCACAGTTCAAATTCTCAAATGTGGCTCAAGTTCATAATTTTCACACAGCTCTGCTGGAGTACAGCCTTAGTGTTCTTCAATACATTTCCCAACCTTCCCTGCACAGATTGAGGGACCACAGTGCCCTTAATGAGCTCCAATAAATTAGGAAAAATGCACCCTCCTACCTCTCCCAGAGCAACCAACCAAGCCCTGGAAAACCAACAGACGGCCTACAACTCCAGATAGCTCCAAATACACTAAAAATGAGTCTGTTGGTCTCAACATTTTTCTTCTTGCTTCAGCAAGTATACATCTTCAGCACTTAGGTGACTTCATATTGTTCTTTTCTACTGTCAAGATGGGTCAGCATGCTTGTTTGTTAAATCTCACATTTCTTCAATATTATTTTCCCAGTAGCAGTGCCAAAAGGCTCACTCACCTCCTTGTGGGAATCCTTGTGTGCTTCCAGTGTCTTCATGATGGTCAACTCTGCGTAGTTTTTGAACCTTGCTGGCTGATTCCGTAGGATTTCTCTAAGGACTCGCAATGCCAACGCTCGTATTGAATGCTATGTCAAGAGAAATTGCTGTTAGAGAATGTAATTTCTCAACAAAATTGCATTTTGAAGCAAATTCTCATGGCTCCCTAAGCAGTATAAATCTTACTTAGCTCTACCAGCTCCAGTGGATCAAGCAGTGTGATCAATAGCTGAAAACAAGAATTGGTCTGCTTGCTTTCTGTTGCAGAAACATTTATATAAAATGACTGTTCCTACTGACAGAATCAGAATGATTCTACATTTTTAAATTCCATACTCTTCTGGCAATTAAGTATAAATTCATAACCAAAACAGCATAACTGCACACGAAATTATAAAGACATTCAGATTGTATTTGATTTGTTCTTCCCATTCTGCTTAGCTCTGCAGAAATCAGATTGAGCTCCATTCATGCAAAAGCTGTTTCTCATGTACTATTAAGAAGCAGCATTGATTTACTGCAGCGCCTCTGGAAATTACTTTCAAGAACAGTCAATTTTTGTAGTCACTACTGACCTGTGTGTTAATCCTTTATATATCAAAAGATCCTTAGGAGAAGGGATTTATAACACTTGCTTTACTTACACAACTGTTACCTTAAGTTTTTGGTCAGTAGCCATTCCAAATAGATCTATCATTTCAGCAGAGGAATACTTTACTCTATACTCAGCCTTCAAATTATGCCCTTTGTTATCCATCTGCAAAACTCACAGATTAGCAAACTTACTTGTACTTCAAGTCACCAAATCTTCCTACATACATGATGATGCTATGATTAAACATGTAGGACTACCAAAACTCATGTTGATTCTAAGAAAAATGATTGTGAGGAAATATCAGCCATACAGACTGCCTTAGAAAATAACTTTATTTCTGATTCTAGTTCAATTTCCTAGTTGTTACTAGACACTCAGACGGGAGCAGAGAACAGACACTACAGAGAACCTTGAAATTTGTCATGGAGTACATTAACAATGAAAGCAGAATCAATAGCCTTAACAGAAAAAAAGAAAACAAGCAGTGCAGCATCACTGATGAGATGCCATAGAAATGTAACAAATTTCAGTTGAATTAATTTGCAGAACCTATCACCCTAAATAAAGCAATGCTACAAGAGAGTTAAGAAAAATCTACATCTCACATCTTTGTCTCCAAGCGTTTCCAGGAGCAAGAGCAGAATGGTTTTGAAATGCTCCTCCCAAACTCCAAGATTATCCTCCCTTGTGATTTTCAGCAGCTCCAGGAGAGCTCCTTTCCGCTCCTCCACCCGCTCATTGTGATTAGAGAGCTCTTTCAGAAGGTCAGCCACCAAATCTGAATGGTCAATGGGTACTTCTAGGACAAATGGAAGCGAGTCACTTGGGGAAATGGGGGAAAAGGTCAAATATGTCCATATTACAAACCTTCCATAGAACAAGTGCACAGAAAAAAAAAGACCACTCCCAAAAAGGCATCAAATCCCAAGTGGACTCTGTCAAGAGGGAAAGAGGACCAGAATAGCCCTAATTTCACCTAAGTTCCTAATGCTGCTCATGGCTAACAAACAAAGAAGAGATGACGACTGGATTTTATCCAATTCCAATAATTACTTGTACAAGAGGAGAATCACCAGTTTGTCCCAGACACACACCCAAAACCAGCAATCACATGCGTGACTTTTAGATCAAAGTACTGTGAGTCATCAATATAATGCAAAGGAATAAACTAAGGGGTGCAGCATCGTTTAAATGAAGTGAAACACTCAATAACAAGCTAATGAGTCATTTAGGTTTTAGAGTAGAACGTCCCTAAATAAATGTCCCTTGAAGATATATTTAATTTAGACTTTAAGGGACTAGTTTGAGGAAAACTCCAAAGGAGAAAGTAAGAGAGAACAGTAACAAAAAAAAAAAAAATTGCAGCAGAGCCTCCTCTCCATATCCATAAATCAAGTTCTCATGTCACACATCAGAACAGAAAATATTTCATGCCAAGCCTTGACTCACTTGCAAAGTAATACACAACATATACGTGGACAGGCATGTATCTCAGTACTGCACAAATACAAATATATCAGGAACAGAACAAGCTGCCAACAATTTTTAAAGATACGCTAATACAAACCATCCCGAAGCTGATCCATGTCATCATCAAAAACTGCTTCCTTGAGGGCAGTCTTGTCATAAGTGTTAATTGTGTCGGAATAAGGATAGGGGTTATACTCTCGAGCTCGTGGCCCTGAAAAGGCGCGGGGTGGCTGTGTGTTAAGTAGGGAGGTTTTGTTATCTAGAGCCATCCTTCCTCCTTCTACAGTATCACTGCCTCCTCGGACATCACTGGTAGGTACTGCAAGGCCACCATCTCGAGACACCTGGAGATCAAATACAGAAAAGGCTTAAGACCACTAAAAGGCTACAACTTCCACAGAATTTGAGTTCACCCATCAACAGGATCACATCCATTAATTTTGTGTAGAATTCTCTATATACACATAATACTTAGACCGCCTCTTAATTTAGGTAACAAAAGTATCTCATGATCATAGGGCAAAAAGCTGTGCTAACATTTCTAAACAGAAATATTTCTAAAACTGCAAAGGCTAGGAAAAAAATCAAACAAGGAACAGGACCAATCTGCTAATAAGTCAAAGGAAGGAAGGAAAAGCAACATCGTTCTCACAAATGATGCTTAGAACACTAATGTGAAATAGACAACAGCAGAGCCCCAAAGAAAAACATCAGATTACCAAGAATTCTAGCTTCTGAGACTAACAGTCTACACTTGTTTATCCACACAGGAAACAAAAATACTGCTTAATTCACAGATTTTGAATTTCATGTACTTAATTAAAACAAAGGGCATCTCACATGTCACAACAACCTCTAGGACCTCAGTGTCTTTCTTGTTGTGAGAGGTTCAAATGTTGAAGTGTTAGAAACAATTGAGAATAAAACAGTTACAGGAAAAATCCAGTTACCAAAAGCAACTGGATTTTGTACGCTAGTTAACATTCCAAAGCCAGGCTTGAAAACCATAAAAGTTTCGCATATCTCCAAGTATTAATCAAACCAAACACTTACCATGTCACAGTCTTTCTTCCCATCACGTTTGATTGGTTCATTCAGGTCCTCTTGACTACGAAAACTAAACTTTTCAATTGCTTCTGTGACTCCACGAAGAGAGCTGTAGATTTCATCAGAATTTAGGTTCTCCGTGTCATAATCCAGCATACTAAAGACGAAACGTATATGAAATGTTACACACAAAATTGGGATCAACTTTTGACTTAACAAATATACGTCAAGTTGGAAACAGATGATTTGGTGTATCATTTCTAACAGAGACTTTTAACGAAACATGAATGGAATTCAAAGCAGACTTCAGGTCTGAGTCTCCTAGATTTATCCCAGTCTGAGAGGAGGAGCTCAACTGAATGAAGTGGTACCATATTGCTGCAACTGAGGAGAAATCAGGTCCACTGTTTATAACATTCCAAAGCAGTGAATGTGGTAGCTTCTATCAACAAAATATCCTGCTCCCATAAAGGTAATGGTGTTCATACAAAAGAAAAATAATCACTATGAGAACTCAAAGGGTTCTGACCGCTAGTGGACGTGAAATCAACAAAATTTAAGCTCCATAATATGTAAAATATATTCTGTCCATGAACTGAAATGCAGTAGATTTAAACAGAAATGAAAATGTATCTTGACATAAAGCTTTGTCTATCATATTCCAGTTCTTGTTTATAAAGTAGTAAAAACAAAACCACTTGCAAGAAGCCTTGAAAAAAATAAGATGCATTTCAGTAATGAGCCTTAATTTGAGAATTCTCTCACTCAAATCAAATGCTTTGTTGCGGTGAGTCTGTTTTTCAGAAATTCTTCAGGAGTATAAAGCCTAAGAGTTATCCAAAATTAAGTACTATGAGAAAAATGACCAGCAGGCAAGGGCAGATGATAAGAGGGAAAAAAAAAAAAAAAAGATAAAAAGATGTAGCGAGGGCAAGAAGGTCCTGAATGCCTTAAGGAAATTAAAAGACAGTATTGGCAAGATTTTGCCCTATCCAGACAGAAGTTCAATCTGCATGACAGTTTTCCAAGACAGATTTAAAGAAGAGACCCCAGTAACTGAGAGGAATTTCTCTGGGGGAGTCTCAGATCTTAGCAAAGCCAGAAGCAAAAAACTCAAAGGAATTTGAGATATTTACATCAAGTTGTTAGTCAATAAATGTTAAGAAGCAGCTCCCTTCAATTATCAATTTATATTTCTTAACAATTTGTGAAGGATGACAGGATGGCCTTGGAGGAAGATGGCTGAACAAAGAGTAGTGTTGCTTTCCTACAAAAGAACAATCACTTGTGAGGTGGTAAGAAAACTGATACAGTAATAATTCTCTTACAATCTCTTTTGAATCCTGGGTACACAGTCATTATTTTCAGTACAACTAAAAGTAGGATGTTTGCTATCTGGAACTATCACTTCTCTGTCTGAAGTTCCTTGAGAACTTCAGACAAAGGATAAAACTTGTGTTGTCCAAATCTTTTGGGATTAACACACTGAAAATAGCCATAATCCCTGGCTCCAAGCAACGCTATCACCCTGCAGGCACACAAGCACCAGCACAATGCACTCTGGCAAAGAAAACAAAGCATTGCTCCCTGACTTTAAATGGTGTCCATCCAGCCAGGCCTGGCTAAAAAGAAGTCACCACTGAAACAACAACAGACCTAAACCAGGAAACAAAAGCTGTGCATAAACCTATAAAAGAAAGAATATTTAGGATCTTCCAGATAACTGAATGACATCATTGCTTTCCAGACTCCCCAGAAAAGTAAAAGCAGTTTTAAAATTCTTTGTAAATATTGGTAATAGAAAAGACAAGCTTTGCTCCGTACCATCTTGAAAGTATCAGTCGTGTGTTCAAGCATGATTAATCCATACATCTTACAAGCTTCTTCAAGTGACCAATGGAAGAGCCATTACTAGACAGTATATATTGATCGTAACAGCGTACTCACACTAAGAGATGAAATGACTTACCAAAGGTCACACAATGAAATCCATGGAGAAAGAAAATTAAGATTAAAAAAAATAAATCGACCAACAGTCCCAGATATACTGACATTAAATCTGCCCAAATCTCTGTTTCTTTCCTCAGGAATGAATTTTGACCAATGCTGCTCCCAAAGAACACATCAACGCACATATTCTACAGTGCAAAATGACTGCAGCTATTTATGAACAAAGAACCACTAAAACTGAGGTGTTTTTCAAAACACAAAACCACCTTTTACTAAAATCTGGAGAATCCAGTGATTTCATATGTCAAGAATAAGCTCGTGTAAGAAATCACGTTATGGTTGTGACAAAACGTTACATGTAAACACACATCTACTGACAGTATGTGTGCTGCAATAATTCACAGACAACGTGATGGAGAAAATAAAATGAAGCTAAACCCACCTTTGAGGGGAAAAAAAAAAAAAAACAGCACAAAAAAAAAGCAACCAATCAAGAAAACTAGAGGAAAGTCACAGGATGAAATAAGAGTAGAGATGAGCAGTGTTCAGGGATGTCACAGCATTATTTTCCGTCTTCCGTCGCACTGAAACAATACAGCCCTCCACAAGCTTATCAAAATAAAATTTGGCTGTTTTGCAGTCTGTCATAAAGATTTTATTTTCATGAACTTTTATTCATTTTCCAATCCAAACTATGTATGAGTAAGTAACAGTTGAGCATCCTCAAGCAGTACACAGGGTTTCTTGCACTTTCATGCTCTGGGCTGGAATGATTCCCAAGCTCAATGCTGACTAATGAAAGGAGGAAAACATTGTTCTCAACTAGCATAACCCCCATGCCCCAGTCCAAATTAACATTAACCTCTTCCATAGATTTCTCAGATGGTCCTAGAACCTGAATATTGATTTCATGCTTCACATCCTCTGCTATTCACAGGGATGCAGAATGTGTGATTCTATTTTCTATCTCAGTTGTCACAGACTCCCAGATTTTCAGGTTTCCAAGAACTATTTGTTTGGTTTTGCTTCAACAGCTTCCAGTTAGGAACTTCTTTCGCCCTTCTTCAAGTGAGACTCACATTTAAGTCCAAATAAATCACATCCACAGAAAGCCTGCTGATAGGGCTTAAACTTCATAATAATCCGAGTAATCTAACAGACATCTGGCAAATTAAATTTGGTTTTTGATCAAAACAAGTATGCAGTTTTAGTTTCGTACACAGGTTCAATATCTACAAACAGATAGAAATAAAATGTGAGTGTACAAGAGGAGGAATAGCGACCAAAATTAACTGCCAATCCCTTAAATCTTGTGGGAAGGACACATAATACAGTTAATTTCAATACTATACAGTTCTAAGATGTTCCACGATCCTCACACAAACAGCTGGTGAATCACATACACACCACCCTCACTGGCCGCCAGATACTACTGCAGATGGGAAATCACTGTCACAACAAGTGCATACAGAAAGTGCTCAACAATTGTGTTCTGCATTCAGGAAACCCAGCAGGGAGAAATTAATTTGGAAGAATTCACTTTGTTTTTCCACTGGCGTGCCACATCTCCCTCACAAAGAGAGCAGTGGCTGATTCATCTCCCCAGTCTGAGAACTAACATCATCCCAATTTCTTTTTCAATCGAAGCTTTTGGAAATCATTCCCTATGCTTGAACAAATTATAAAGTATGAAAGGGAAATAGTACTGTGACATCTCAGACAAGTTGGTTTAACAGGTAGCTTGTTACCTGGGAGAATAAGAGCGTCTGAAAGTCTTGTGGGAAGGAGCGGTGGGGATGGAGTTAGGCTGAGAAAGGGGAGGGGGGTGCTTCGACAGCCCATCTGCACTCCAACCCCAGAACCGACTGCAGTGATCAGAGAAACGAAAGAGAAAAACAGAGAAAGGAGAGGGAGAAAAAAAAGAAACTATAATCTGAGTGGCATAGTGCTGTCATGCTGCCTTGAAGAGAGAAAAAAAATTAATAGGAACGAAATTAAACAAGAATACTCCACTGAGCCCCTTAAGTCATTGCTTTGGCCTTTATTTTCACTTTTTTCTACCATAAAGATACGGCTCACACAAAAATAGTCTCTCTTAAATTGCACAAATAGATATAGTCTCTATAAACAACACTTAAAATGCTTTAAGTGAACAATCCCTGACCAAACATCTGTATCCAAATTCTATGCAGGTATTTGCAAGCAACAGAATTTCCTGAAAGATAAGAGAGCTGAAACTGAACTTCATGAAATAAATGAAAATCAGTCCAGAGCACACATGAGTCAGGTAAACCAGGGGCTTGTTTTGTCTCTGCAGACAACCTGGAAAGACTGAATGAAAACCCAGCCTCAAACTCAGTTTGTATTTCTCTTGAAACCTTTACAGGGGCCTCTTAGTTACCATCTGGCACTGCACCTTTGGTCAAGGCAACCAAATCTGTCTGAATGTGTTTAGTTTTTACTTTTGCCTTGTTCCCTTTCTGTCACTGGAATTATCAAAATCATCTTCTAAACAATACAAATGTTTGAGCTCGTGGAATATTCAGCGTGCCAGTTTGTTTCTACTAAAATTAAGCATACTTGTCTCAGAGAGTCACATGAGTATACACAAGTGAAAGATGCTACAAGATCAGATGTGGCAAACAGGTTGAGAGTTGCTTCAGCACAAACAGCAGCAATGCCAGTTGAAAACTCATCTGAAGTGTGATGACAAATTCACGTGTTAACCAGCAATCAAAACCATAGCTATTACATTCAACTACTACAGAAACGCACCAGAATTCAGAACACTGAACAAAAATCTCACAGCTCAAGATCACACCTACCTGCCAATGGGCCTCTGAATAATGCAGGCTTGTCTTTATTGTATAAGGTGGGTGATTTAATTCTTTTTCCATGTCCTGCCTCACTCAATTTAATATAGATGTCATTAAAGTTTATTTTAACAGTATTTTTTTTTATTTTCAGTGAAAAAGCAAGCATATAAAGCTTTCAAGGCCAAATAAAGCTATCGGCATTTTTTTTCCCCAACTATGCACAAGTTTCTGGGCTGCTAATAGAGGCAAACTTAGCCATTTGATTTAATTCCTTCAAATATTCCTAATGGATTGTCAGCGAAAATTCACAACCTGTATGTGGCATCTGAGCTCACAGAGGACGGTTTTTTATTCAAAATAGCATTCACACACTGGAGGAATTCTTAGCTTAGTATTTTTCCTCTTGCTGTACTACATCACTAAACCTGCAATTTTCTCCATCCAACACAAACACAAGCCATTCATCTGTGCATTGCCCAGGAAACATTCATTATTCTTACTCAGAAATGTGGTTTTTTTCCCTATCATTTCATTTTTCCAAGTGCCTTCCTTTCTTTTCTTCTCCAGAAAGATCTCTCTTGCTCTGTAACTTCCCTCCCAAAAAGCTATCTGGACAACAAAAGTAGGTACAATTGCAGAAACAACTCACAGATGCAGTGGATATATTCTAGTCATCATGAAAGCAGAATAGGATGGAGCAAATGAAAGCATAAGGAAGGGCTCTGTCCAAAGCCCCATGCTATGCTTCTGAAGACACTAATATACATATTTATATTTCTAGGCAATCCAAACTAACCTTTCTACATGGAAGATTAGATATCCATGCCCCAAAAATACGCATGGCTCTAAATACGACTCTTCCAATCTGTGTATCAAGAGAAAATTCAAAGGAAAATAAAACCTTCAAGCCAAAACTGGCACTAAGAACTGGAGATAATCTCTCAACTCGACAGCACTCAAGTTTCCTATAAAAGGCAGAGGCACAGACAGGGCAAGCAGGCAACAGTGCACCACACAGACAACCTTGCTACACTTCGGGAATGGGTCCAGCAGAAGGTATGATCAAAACCTGGTTCAAAGAAGGGCTCTACAGTGAAACAGTGCTAACTTCATCCTTTTAGATCGCTAGCAGAATGACTTGGGTCTGCTCGTTCTTCAAGTGTGTAGACATAAAAGTCACATTCTACACCGTAAGCTGAATTGCAAACCACAAGTACTTATAATGGAAAGATGACATAGAATCATGTACACCAACATCATATTGGCATACCACAACGTACCCTACTCACAACATGTTAGTCTGCACATCTTCCAAAGCCTTTTCTTCTTAAAGAACAACCATACAATTTCCAAAAACAGAACTGAGTTCCCCTTTGTTCAGTAAGTCATGACCTCAAAGTGTGCTGCATCAGACACAGTGATGCAATCCAGCACAATGTCATAAACTACTGCCTCTGATTTGTAACACTTGCCACCGCCTCTTCTACAGGTGGTAAAAATCTGCAGCTATTGCTATTGCCCATAGGTTACAAAAAAGGTGGATAACTGATTAGTTTAAATGGCTTTTAAAGCAGCTTGCACCTTCACCCACCACTGAACAGTAATTATTACGTAGTCTTACCTAAATCCAGCAACGAATCAAGACAGATTAATTGAAAAGGCACCTAAACTTTAGGGTCAACAACTTCAAGAATTCCATGGAAAATCAAAGGAATTATTGATTTTAAAAGGACATTCCTGGATCAGAATACCAGTAACAATTTTGGTCTTCACAACTTAATGGCAGAATGTTCTAGAATTAAATGTCCTCTCTAACCATTCCTTCAGAATATACTCCATGTAATAAACTCTCCAGTTGCTAACCCCCAAAAGCTTGGAAAGAGCAACATTAAATTGAGTAGATGATGGAAGCTTTAATCTGCATCTTGATACGTATAACCTGACATCAAGACGTAATAAAGACATAAAGCTAAACAGAATAGCAGTGAGTGAAGAGGAAAAACAAGTCGTGTCACAGTGGCAAAGCCCAAAAAGCATGGCAAAAGATCATAAATTTACAAAAAAGATGCCACATGCAAGTGTGACTCGCAAAGTTTCAGCGTAACCATCAGGAGATATAATCTGTTTGTAATTCCAGTGACAAATATCAATCAGGAGAGCAACAATACTCAAGTTAGTAGAAAAGGAAGCAACATTGTTGGAACCATTCCCCTGAAACTCTATCACTTAATTTCTTAATGGAACCATTGTTGAAAAGCCTCATAATAGGCAACTTGACCTTGACTTGCAAACTTTCAGTCTGGTTTTGGATTACATCAGATTTAGGATTACAAAGATTTATTCAGATACTCAGAATTTCCTCAGGAAACTTTATGTGGTCCCCATACACTGCTGGAATAGTCTAACTACTTCATTAAAAGCAAACAACCTGTGTTTTTCTGACACATGGAAGTGCTAAGCATCCCCCACGGATACTGTCTAGCAAGTCATGACAAGGCTGATTAACGGATTTCAGTGTAAATTACTAAACTGGACTGTGAATTGCCATCCTTGCACGGTATGTTTCCTTTTGCTTCTGCTTCAGCCACAGCAAAGTGACTTCTCATAATGAGGCACAGCATTTAAGCTTTCCCAGCATGAATCATCAAAGCATGACCAGGTAACAATCTAATACTTCCCATACTTCTAAGGTCCCAGAGCACACTGTATACATGCATATCATCTCTGCTCTAAGTTTTTCTTGTACCAAAAAAAAAAAAAAAAAAAAAAAAAAATTAAAAAAAAAATTTCAGCACACAGAAGTTCATGTACACAGAATAGAAGGTTTTGGAGAGGACTAATATATTCTAGGGTAGCACCTGCAGCTTCAGTAAGATACCTGATTGCAACAGACATACTGCCCAAAGGATCAGGATGCTGTTCTGCCGGTAACCAAGCAGGGAGGAGATTTGTGAGGTGCTCAGCACTGAAATACAGTCACAACCTGTATTTTGCATCCTCACAAAGCATAAAAGAGGAACAGGGGAAGTTCAGCATTTTTCTCTGCAGTGCAAGCACTGCAACAGTCAAATAAATTACTGAACATAACAGCACACCCAAAAAACAGACAACTGAAACCCTTGACTTGAAAGTCTTACATTCTTTGTGGTATTTGTAACCTACACAACACCTCATCACTAATCTGCCATTTAGTATTACCTTTATTAAATCCACAAATGTGATTCTGGAGAAGGCCTGGTTATGAAAGAATTAATATAAGAACAGACATTGAGATTACGCAGATCAACATGAGGACTCAAACAATGAAGTCAATCACCAACCATGTACTATCATGTTTGAAGCCTGCTCCTTTGGAACAGTTTACTGTAAACTTCTGATCTCTAGTTTGTTTTTAAAGTGAGTCATATTTTGCATTATGCATGCTCAGTGTTGAAATCCTTTAAGTGGTTTAATTAACCTGCCACATTACCTTGGAGACAGCCCACCATGGGAACAGTTGGTAGGTGAAGTCAAGGGGCTGGTTCTGCTGCTGGAGTGCCGAGAAGGAGTCCTACCAAGAGTATTGCTGGGGGAACCCTGGCATACAAACAGGAAAACAGGGATTAGCAACATGTTGCAAAACAAGAACAGGAGGACACAACAGCAGCAACAGCTTCAAACACTGCCTTTGTGCTAGACAAGCTTGGCATAGTTTTCACTCTTGCTCTTGACCCAAAAATCTGCAGCCATGGTTCATGTAGTCAGTAATGTATTCTTAATGATACTGTGCTCAGAGAATGAAGAAGCACACATGTACCTCTCTACTATTCATAGAACCAGCAGTTTTAACTTTGCAGCATGTATGGCCTGCAAATACTGCCAGGAAAATGGTTTATCAATTCACCAAACTACCCAGTTTCTCAAACACTATTTTTTCAGCTCCAGAGCACGCAGACCATTACTCTGTCAATTTAGCAACTTAATTATGCAGCTATTTTACACATTGTCTAAAGCATTCTGAGGGCTTACAATCTTAACAAGCACAATCAATTAACTTATTTTTCCACTGGCCTGCATAATAATTCATACCACAGGAAAAATGAGTAGAAACCATTCCCAAATCTGACTCACTCCACAGAGAGGAAGATAAACGAGGTGGAAGGGACTAGAGAATCCAGTCCTTCCCCTTGGAAGCCTAATGCTGCAATTTGAGTTTACACAAAGGTCTATCATTGCTATGGAAGGGCAAAGATGAGAAGGTTCAAATTCCAGCAAACTTCACAAGATTTCCATGCACAGAAAAAAAAAAAAAAGGCAAAAAACCCACACCCCTAAAAACTCATTGTTGCTGAGGGAAAAAAAAAATGTTTGGAAGCAAACTAAATCTCCATTAACATTCTCTCAAATTATATATGCAAGCACTATATTAAAAATAACTGAATTATTTGTTTTAACAGACTCATTAAAGTAACATCGAACAGAAGCCTCTGCTGATACACTGTTTCAAGACAACAGCTACTGATAGTGCATGCTACTGGACATCTGCAACAAGTTGCAGTCTTTGAGGTTCTGCTGTTTGCAAGAACATGGGACTCTCACCACACTGGTGTTACTGGAGTTCTTGAGGTGGTTGTGCAGGAGCTTGGTAGCACCATCCTGGAATGTTTTTGGCAAGGCACCAAGTAACATGGTAAACTCGGGAGTGTTCAGTTCAAAGAGAGAAATCAGGACTATTTGTGCTGCCTGAAAAGAAGAAAACAACGTTAGTTTCTATTTCAAGTACACAATTTGTTGGTAACAATTCTTATGGCAAATTATACAACATCACTTCAGAAGATTCCCATGTTCAGCTTCTAACACATACCTTGCAGTGCGTCACAAGGAATTACTGTTAGAGTTACACCTTCTTAGCTTCAAGCTTACAACACACCTTTACATTTATGCCATTTCTCAGATCTGTACAGTGTGCTCAGGTGTACTATCCCACAGCAAGTGAGAAAATCTAACCATTCTCCCATCCAGCACGTATTTCCATTGAAAAGTTACTGCAAAAAATTTCAAGAACCAAAAACCAAGAGTTCAGATAACGAATCTGGGACTGCAATTTGTCATTCCCATACTTGCTACCTTCAAGTGAAAAAGAGACTAGTCCCTTTCCCACACAACCTCTCCTCCTCTTAAGGATCCAATAAATTCGTTTCATCAGACAATCCCTGATCCTGCTTTCTCACTTCATGCTTCACTGCTGTGGCTGTTCCAGCAGCTCAAGCTTCTGGCTCAACTGGAAGACCTATCAGGATGGTGAGAAGAATCTTTCCCTAATCCTTGTACAGGTTAAACCCAACCAGATTCCCTGAATTCACTAAGTAAAACAAAACAACTGACCATTTCACTGGAAAATGTTTTAACCTATCTACCTAAAAGACTGGCTGCCAGAGTAAGTTCTCCACTAACTCCAATAGTAAATGTACACTATATTGAGAAGATACGAAGATACAACATAAAAACTCATTCCAAGAACAGTCAAAATAAAGCAACAGTGAAGAACTTCTGATGATTTGCAGCACCATCTTCTCCAGCCAGTGTCACTGTCATACCAATCTCCAGAATACTTATCTGGATACAAAAGCACCAGCTTAGATTAACAAAGAAATGAAGCTATGTGAGTTTTTATTTTGGAACAGCATACATGCTTAGGAAGAGCAGACACTTCTGTCTTTTGTTTTGGGAATTTTCCAAGACTTCCTAAGAATCAAAAATAATTTTAAAGAGGGCAAAAATATAATTCACTATTGTGGTAATAACTGTACATTCATTGTTCTCATCAACTCAAAGGAAAAGGAGCTTTTAGTAAATAATGCATCTATAAAGTTGTGATAATTAAGTGTATCTGCAGTTCCCTCTGAAGTGGAATCCATTATCAAATGATGAACCTGGGTACACAGAAACCCTTTCAGGGTGGAGAAGCATCAAAAGTATCTCATTGTTTCAGTATGCAAATTGCAGTTTGAGCTACACTGATCCTTTTACTCATCTGGTCAATTTGCAGTAACACAGCTTTACTTATAAGAAAACATTTTCCACCTGTAGATTTCAAAGTTTATTAATATCCTTTTCATATAGCCAACAAAGAAATTGAGGCACACAACACCCAATGGGCTTTCTTTCCATGGACTGCACTGAACAGGTCTTCAGACTCTTCGTTTCATACAGGTCATGCTGCATTCTACCAAAATCCCATTGACTTGAACAGAAACACAGCATGTCATCATTCACTTCACACTTAATTCTAAGGATGAGAAATCGGGAGATAATTTTTTCCCCATGGCTTTCTTAGCTCCAAACTCAACTGTCCTTTGGCCTGAGTTTTGGGCAACTCTGTCATGAAGTTTGCAAGGTATCCAACTGGCATCTGTATTTCTGTCAAGTTTTGATCCAACAAGTTTCTGTAATGAAAATATTACTACAAACAAGATCTCAGATCAGCATGTTGAACCAAATGCAAAGTGACAAATCATGCCAAAGTACATTCCCAGTTGTGAATGGCATGCACATCCTGGACTGTTAGGAAATGGACATGCAGATCTTCTGTGTCAGAACAAGCAGATCACATGTTCACAAGGATCAGAAAAACAGGAAAACTGATCAAGAAGGTTCCTAGGTTTAAAGATTGCTCAAAAACTAGAATATCTGGAGATATTCTAGCAGTTGGGTGCTGCCCAAGGTACAGTGAGGCAGGAAAGGATTCAAGATACCTTTGGTTCCACACATCTCTCATCGATGGGTTAAAAAAAGACCATCCTTGGAAAACTCCTGTGTAAAAACAGCAAAAAAGGCACAAAAGTATGTGCACTCCAACACACGTTATTTCTGAAGTTACCTTTCTTGTCATATGCCAGAGGTGTAGCCACATCTCATCTCTGAGCAAAAATTTCACCAAAGCTCTGTCAGGGACTATGTGACACCCTGAGGCTTTACTTTAAAGCAGAGCATTACCTAAAACTTACAGCTGAATACTGATAGCTCAGCTGCTGTACTGCAGGAGTATCTGGAAGAAGTACTAGCTCCCTGAAATCACTTCAGTTTCATTTTAGTTTTCTGTGCTGGCTTTAATGAAAGCAGATCTCTGTCCACACTCCCTCTTTGCACAGACTACAGTTTGTTTTTAGAAATGTTTGCTAGTCTGCCAGTATTTTGTGTACACTGTGCTCTTCAGCAGCTTTGTTATTGCCTGCAAGTAGGTCACTGGGCTTTGAATGGAGGATTGAGCAGCCGCTCACAATGCTGGTACTCTTATGTGGCCCAAAAGAAAGCAGACCTACAGTCTACATTATTTGAAAAAAAGCCAAGTATTACTTACAGCCTGAGTGATGCTCCAGCAAAGCTCTCAAAAACAGCACTAGAGTTACGTGGGTTAATCTTGGCTGTGTTGCTTTTAAGTAGCCCTCATCCAGTATATACTTAGTCAAAGTTTTGTTTTTTTTCCCCTAACTAATTCTTTTGAACTTTAAAATCTGTGGATTTTCAGCCTCTGACAGACTATAGAATGTTTTTATAACCATTGGTTATTTCCAAAAATCTTGGTGCTTGTTTCATTACATTACTAAATAGGTAGAGAAAAACAGTCAATAACAAATTTCTGAACACAGCATCCTCCATGCAGCACATGTGCCTGATGATACATAATTAGAACAATTTTCCTCTGCCTTTGTATCCCCATCCCATTAATGTGGAATGCTAATCCATCTCCTATCAGTGACAAATAACATAGACTCTATAGATGACCTAATCTTAACCAGGCAGTTCTCTGCTAGCTTGAGCTAGAGAAACTCCAGTCAATTCAGAGCCTGTCTGCTAGTGAGGGGGTCTGGCTCCATGTCAGCTTGCCGAATCATTTGCGAAGGGCTGCTTATGTAACTTTGTTATTTTCCTTAGAACAATGCAGCAGGGGATCAGGTTCCACCAGCTGGCAACAGCTCCCCACATCTCATACTTACGCCAATGCAGAAGTCATGCTGCCTAACCACCAGCTGCTCAATGGACACAAGTGCTTTAGCAACTTGATGGGGGTGATTTTTTGATTTGTTTATCAGAATCTAGTAACCTCCACAAATCAGTTGAAACATTAAAGACTCTGAAGTAATTTGGGCTTATTAAGCAAAAAACATCAGGCTAACTGGAGAAATGTTAAGGGAAAATACAGTCAGTGACCTAAACTTAATACCAGTGCCTGGTGATTGCTGCTGCAGCTGGTCTGCTAACAACCAAGCAGAATAAGCAGCTACCTGCCTGAACTACCTAAAAACAGTTTTCAAGTTATTCAAAACCTATAGTGGTGATGAGCTCACTACATTGTGACCTCCATAAATGGAGAGAACCCCTAACTCTGTTTCAGAGACACAAAAACAGGGGTTAACAGAAAAGCAGAAAGCCAAAAATTATTTCACACGCAGACACTTTTTTAGGCCCCCAGTCAAGGCCTCTTTACACAGCTAGACAGTGGCAACTGCAAACAAGATTAGTGTGATTAGTGCACACAGCTTTTAGTCTACCTGTTTACATTTTTCTTCCAAGTTTCCTTCACCGGGCCCTGAGGAAGCTGTAGTTGTCCTAGCTGGCAAATCCTCACCTACCCAACTATGCATGGTCTGGGTTTGACAAACAGGAAAGGTGGTATTATTAAGAGAAGGCACAGTTTTCAACTAAACCATCTGAATAGTACACATGCTATCTTTTTGCAGATGAGTTTAATCAGTGGCTTGCCTTACTTGAAAATGCAAAAAGCATTAATATTTGATTCAACCAAAAAAGCATTCCTTTCAGCAGAGGGCAGCACTGAAAAATTAAATTCAGCCACAACTCCCATCCATACATATCATCCCTCAGTGCTGCTGCGAGGCTTTGTTTTGGCAGCTTCCTGATGACCTCCACAACAACTTGAGGTACAGAGCCCCAGCAAAACACTGGACTGAGATGGCACCAAGGTGACATGGGATCTGGCATCTGCCCACACCCATCCTTGTGGATGCATCTCTCAGGAAGGAAGAGAGGAAGAAACAGCTGAGAACTTGCAAGCTCCTGACTCCAGTTTGGTTGCTGTTTAATAGACCATCATTAGCTACAAATGCCTTTTGGAATACTGGTGTGGAATGATGACCAAAAATCATAAAACCATGACAATGATAAGATTGGCCTGAGGAAGTCCCAAAGCCAACTTCTGACAATTATAATTACACTCTATACGCATTATTCATTTCACCATCCAGTCTAAGGCAAACGCATTAATAACTTAAGGCAGACTGGAACAGAGAAACACTCTCTCACATCCCTTGGAATTATACTGCAGATCCAGTACAGATCCACAGAGATGGGGAGGCATCAGTGACACATTCAGCAGCTTGCATTAGCACGCACTGGCACAGGACAACGTTTTGATTCTCCGATGAGCAGAGCTGATGCTGAGTTAATTCACATCCACGGAGAGTGTTTACAGCCTCTAAACAAGTGTTATTCTGTGTATTTTCCAGCAGACAGGTAAGTGTTAGCTGGCACTAGACAAACAAGCTATCTGCCAAACCAAACCTCCTCCTTGTTCTTTTGTGAGACTATAATCAGATGAATATAGACATCCACATCACTAATACAGTACTGTGACACAATGGCTTCATCAATTTGTACATAACTCAATTTTCCCATGATTTATATTAGAATATGCTCTTTATATCTGCATCCTAAAAAGGAAGAAATTGTTTTTAATCAGATTTACATATAGAATTCATATACAAAGTCCACATTGCTACTGTTTTATACAGTATTTTATATATGAGAAGTTTTTGCAAGTCATGGATGGTTGCATTACATGTGTCAAAGACATCTCAAACAGATGCTAGATAAAACTGCACAGCACTGAATCATCACATTCCTATTACAGATCTATAATAGATAAAGATTTCTTATATTCTCTATTGTCACCTAGTCATAGCAAAGACTATTCATTACTTCTGCAAAGCCAGGTGCTATCCCAGAAGTCAGGCTTTTGAAGGCTACCCTGATTATCTTTGCTCCATACAATGTGGCATTTACAGCAGAAACAAGTGTGAGAAACTGTTAAAGTAAATCTAGCATGATGCAAAGCTGAACTCTGAGGGGGAGATTCCCAGATACAAGTAAAGGAGGAAGAAAAGTTTCTGAAGTTCTGTTTGCAACAAAAACACGCCCTTGAAGCTGCAAGAAGTTTCAAATCCTGGTTTTCCAAACAGACCTGTTGCTTATAACCATGCAGGTGTGCATATATTTCTATATACGTGGCATCTACACAAACATGTTATGCCCAGACACATAATATAAGCATGAGTATACACATCCTATGAAGCAATTTCTTATCTCCTATTATCAGACAGTAAGTTCTTATTGTTTGAAGCAAACTGAGAAAAGATAACTACTCATACTAAAACTGCTTCCAGCTCAAAGGATGCTAAAGAAGCTGTAAAAATCCAAGAGATTCACTTTAAGGAAACCTACCTCTGATACCATGTTTCCAACAAGCACGTGATGATTTTCTGGCAACTGATGCTTGGAAAAACAATTTGCCTTACACTAAGTACACTAAAAATATTTGGGTTCTCATAGCTTTGTAGCATCAAATTCAAAACAAACGAAATGAGGGCTACTGTTTTGGAAACATAGTTAGGACACCAAGATCTTTCTGTTCTAACAGCATTAAGTCAAGTAAACACTGAAGTCCACCAAGTGGCACTTACAATGCATGACTCTATTTTTCCTAACACCAACTATTAAAATGCCTGAACAAAGCTCCTTTTTGCACTGAGATCTAATTTGACTTCTTTAGGACCATCCTTTGGCAAAAAGGCTGAACTCTGCATATGGGCACAGACCCTACATAAGCTTAAGGTTTCATTCTCTCTGGTAAATCAGCTACTCGTGGGGGTCAGTGAAACATTACACGCTGTAGGAATATTGCAAGAATTTTGGAGAGCGCTCCAAACAAGAAAGGCAAGGCCCAGCCCACTGGGGAATACTGAAATGATTTGCCATTCAAAAGCGTTCCTGCAAATGCCCTTTGTGTCACTATTACTGTAAGAGGCCACAGCCAGCTGTATTTACTGCCCAACATTAAGGGCAAATGATGCCATTTGAGCTCAATGGGAGGCTCTGGGCATGCTTTCACACAAACTTCTGTCTCAGAACTGCTTGACACCACTAAAAGATTACAGCTCCAGCAGAGGTTTTAGAAGCTTCATGACATCAAGCTGCAAAGGAGTCCAATTTCACTCCCTTAGCAGTGTTTGCCAATCTATTGCTGGTCCTGGTACAGACACCACAGCAGCATCTAAATTATCTATGCTATCTAAAACTTTCTTCATGTTTTAGACATCATTTCCTTTTTAAAGCGATAATACCAATATTTCTTGAGAAATGATATTGAGGACTACTAGTTAAAGAAATAAATTTTATCTTCATTGGCTGTTTGAGCATATGAATAATTTGTTGACCTGCAGCTTCTTCTCTAAAGTCTTCTGCATCCTCTGGTATAACTCAGAAACAATCCCTCAATTACTCAGCTAGAGTCCAATTAGAGGCCTCAATCTAATTTCCATTCTTAAACTGATGGGCTCTTCTCCAAGAACAAAGTATTTTCCCACACAAAGTCCAGTAACGTTACTCCAACTCAGAATTTCACCTACGTAAAGAATGTACAATAACTTTACCAGCAACATGAGTGGTGGCTCCTGACAATGTCCTCAGACCATTCATCACTATCAACATCACCATTTTGAGTTGTTTTTCTCTATGCCATACCCAGTGGTGTATCCTTGCTTGGGGAAAAAGCAGGATTCAGCTGAATATGCAGAGAAGAGCAACACTTGACCTGCATCTCAGTTTCCCATGCAATGCAGCATGAGCTGCTTCTACTTTTTGTTCAGCACAAAGGACAAACGCATTTCACCTTTCTTCTACTACTGTTTGCAGGAAGTAAATCTTAACTTTAATGCAAGGTAAACATCCAAAAGTATTAACAATCTTTAAAACAAAACAAATATTTACCCGTAGCACATTGCAGATCACCTCATTTTAAACATAATGCCTGACAGTAATTTTGACCATATATTCATTGCTACTGTCAACAGCTTAAATGGTTTCTACCCTGAGAGTGGATCATGACTTTTGGTCAATATCAACGCTGCTTTCCACAAAGTACATCATAGTTTTTTTGTGTGATAACAGAGGTTATTGTTCCATACAAGAACAAGCTGACTTCTGCACAACAGCATTTCCTCTAACTTTGTTTCTTTACAATTTCACTTGCTATAAAACATGATCTGGAGTTCAAGTCAGACAGGTTAAGTTGGCTCATTAAGTGTGCTTAAGTAGTCATCATAAGAATATGCAAGGTTTTATTAATAGAATATGTACTGTTCAGTTAAAAAAGGTCTTCGGACCAGATGCCACTTTTTGTTCTAATTTTCTCCAGTGCCTTAACACTATGGGGTTGGGACCTCCATGATCATCACACACACAACTGCTCCTGAGCACTTGGAAGAGTTGAGACAAGTTCAAGAATTATCTCAAAGCTAGATTTGACTGAAAAAGTGCCTTCTTTTACATTTGTTACACACCTCTTGCAGCACCTAATCATTTGGAGTCTGAATTGTCCCTCCTACTCCATAAACTCAACTGCTCCCTCCAAGGTTATATTTTGACAAGAGTTTCAATTGCACAGCCTGCTCTGCATTTTGAGAACTTCAAACCTTTAAAGTTTTCTGTAGCGATACCTTCCACAAGGAAAAAAATGTTATGATCCATTCCTAAATGAATCTTCTTGTTATAAAAAGTGGTACTTCTTGCTCCAGGTATAGTCTTCAAAAGTGGAGGACTTTTTTTTTTAATGTTCTTCAGAACGTTTCACCTGTCTAGGCTGGTCCTTGATAATCCAGATCGTTTCTGCATAATGAATTTATTAGTGTGTTAACTATAGTCATGACAGAGATTATGGCCAATGATCGCTTATAAATCCTTTGCCGCATTGTTTCTTCTAAAGCCTGTAGTTTGCACTATGCTCTTAATAAAATCATAGTACAGCAACTGTATGATGTAATAAAGCTCACCTGTGCATTCCTTTCTAGTACCCTAAGTTAGCTTAACTGCACTATAATTAAAAAGCTAGAGGCAAAGACAAATCTAAGTCACACGCAGATTTAATAAAGAGAATTTAGATTTGGTCGCCTCTTATCACCTCCAAGGCACTTGCCCAGGTCCCACTCAGGTGGAGCTTGCTGCAGGTCTTTGAGGCAGACAGAAGGACAGTCACTGCACTGTGAATACACATGCCCCACATCCCACAGATTCCCAGCTGACATCCAGAATTTCAGCTGCTACAGAGACGCTCTTCACTCAATTTTTCATGCAGCACTGATGACCCCTAATGGTGGAATATTTCTTCCACTGAGAAATATGCAGAAGTTTACTTTCCAAAGTATCACTCTAGTTAGTTTACAGCTCCCTCTTGCCTGCAACTACCAGAGTAAACTGCTTGGGTCTTACTTGAACTGTAACAAAAGCAGTCTTTTCCCTTTTAATTCTGACTTCATATGCAAAAGTATCATAATAGAAATACATATTCCAGATTTAATCCTAGGACTTAACGCCACTTTATTTTCTGAACTGGACTATCTTGAAACGAACTTCAGTCATGCTAGTGCAAGTAAACCCTGCAAAGAGTCTTCTAAAAGCAGATGAGACATACAGTCAAGTGTACCAGAAAGCAAACAGCTTGCACTCAAAAACCTTTTCTGAATTCTTGGGTGAGCTATGAGATAATATTGCAGCTTCAGCATCTTTGATACTCAGTCATCATTTCATTAGAATTGAATAATCAACAAAAATAATTTTATTTCCAAAGATATAAAATAGTACTATTCTAGCATTAAATCAGTAATAAGTGCACATAGAGCATAAAAACTTCATACAGTTTTTATATTCTGATACCATTAAAGTTGTTTGGGATTTTTTTTAAATTAAACTCAAAAACATTTCAAAGCCTACAACTCCTCCTGGAATTGCCAGGGGAGATTTCAGCTGGACGTTAAGAAATACTACTTTTCTGAAAGAGTGGTCAGGCACTGGAATGGGCTGCCCAGGGAGGTGGTGGAGTCACCGACCCTGGAGGTGTTCAAGGAATGTTTGGATTTCGTGTTGAGGGACATGGTTTAGTGGGAGCTATTGGTGATAGGTGGATGGTTGGACTGGATGATCTTGTAGGTCTTTTCCAATATTGGTGATTCTATAATTCTATTCCTACATCTGGGCTGGGAATTGGAGGTAATTTTTAACTGTGTTACAGACACCAGGTACACAAAACAAAGTTTCACTTTTCTCTTGGGAGGGATGAGTATCACTATCTGCTCCATTTTAGCTTACTTGGCACTTGCATCTATAGCAAGAAAAGGAAGAAGTTAACTGCATTATCTGGGTCTGACCTAAATGTGCCATTATTTTTCCAGGTTGAGAAAAACATGCATTTTTGAAAAGAAAAAAGCCAAGAGCCCTTGGCAGCTTACTGATTTGTTTACTTTCTTTTAACAATATTGCAAGACAAAAATTGTGCAGATTTCATTTGAGTCTGCAAAGCAAGAAAATAAACAAGAACCTACAGATATTTTCAGACTGCTCAATAAAATGCCTATTTTCAAACTCTCTTCCCTTTCTGCACAGTAATAGCAGCTAAAGTTACATGGCTAAGTCTCCTGAATAGGCAGTTCAGTTTGGAAGCTAAGGTAAGTAAAAATCTAACTGATTAATTTTTAATTACCTCTGGGATCAGTTAACTTGTGGGGGGTTCTTTGTTGTTGTTTTTATTTGCTTTTCCTTTTTTGGAAGAATAAAGGACTGCAAATACTTCATTATTTGGATTACCTTTCTCACATCTGAGCTCTTTGGTTCTGTTGTCCAAGTTATAATTCTAGACACAGCAAGTCTTGTCTCACTAGAGTTCACAAAGTCCGTCGGATCCATCTGTCTTGCCAAGGACTCAATATATTTCAGGATAGCTACCTTCACCTGAGAAGTGAAAAGGCATCCGTTAAAATCCCACAAGCTAGCAAAAATAGAATTATCCTTTCATAAACAGATATTGCTACAGATTGACAAGACTTGTGTCACAGTGGGAAAAAAAAAACACTTCCCTGCTGCATCTCTATGTCAGTTATCAAAACCAAACAACTTCCTACACAAGAAAAATTTGGTCTGGAATGGTCCATCAGAATAGGCTCAAAATATGCACATGCCTCCTTGTGCATTAGTGTGAGCACATGAGGACTCCACCACACTGTTTCCAACAGCATGGAACATTTTAAAGTGCTGCAGTTTCATCTGATTTCCAGAGTTCATGGTGTTCCCATAGCCTTGAAACAGCAGCTTCCTGAAAAACAATCTGCACAGCAGTACTCTCTTAAAAGGATTTATTAACAGAAAGCTCTGCATCTTCTCCAAATTCTACATGGACTCTATGGGTTCTGTGCAACAAGCATTTTCACCCCTGTCACTGTCCAGAGGGACCCTGGTCCCTGCCGTCCTGCACAGGCAGGTTTCTTCCCATCAAGATCAGGATGAGGAAGAATTTTCAATGTTTAAACTTTAATATTTTTTTAGTGTGCCTAAAGCCCAACATTGATTTGTGACAAGTCAGAAAGTCTTATTTTTCAAAAATTTAGATTTATTAATATAGAGAACTAGAGAGTGGGTTTTTCAGAAGTGTACTGGTAGCCAACCTCTGCAGAGGTTAAAAAAAAAAACAAAAAACACAAAACAACTCTTCTAAACCTCACCATGGCTGTCTCTATAGCTTTGGATATTTAAAAAAAATACAGACAACCTCAGTATCAACAAAAGTCATCTGAGGAAATAGGAGTCAGGCTTCTGGAAACTATCTTTCTTCTTTAACAAGATATGCAAATTACTGCAAAAATTTAATCAAAGCTGCTGATATCATTCTTAATAGCATCAGGTGCTGGCAATTAGTCATCTTGTCACAAATTGTGTTTTCATTATACGTGAGAAGGTAAACTAAGATGACCATGCTTACGCCTCATTGAAAAGGTTTGATACTGACCTTGAGGTTTGGTGTTTGCGTCTGATCCACAATAAACCTCATCAAAATGTTAAATTGTTGATCAAATGGAAAAGAATCCCTGTCCAAAGAAAACCAAGCCAAAAATGTGATGCAACACACACTCCCAAGACTGAATTAACTATATACATAAGAAGGTACATAGCCAAGTTCAGTATCTACCACACTTTTGTTCTGAAGTTTATCATCAACCATTCAGAAAATTCCAAGTTTAAGAATCAGTTGAGTATTGTTTCACTACAGGCTAAACACTGCTAAATCAATATCCACTGTACACTGTTACTCTGCCTTCTGTACACTTCACCAGTTTTTGGCATACCTGGCCATCTTCATTTCAGGCTGTGTTTTTTTTTCAGTTTCTTTTTGCCTCATCTCTAATAGGAAACTGGTTTCTCTTTCCCACAGAGTCCATATGTGGCTTTCATTTCTCTTCTCTATCCTATTTTCTCCTGGATAACTACTACTACTACTACTACTACTACTACGTTTGTTTGCTTTTAAGTTACTCTTTTCCATGGCAAGCTGAACTTCATTGTAACTATGTCCAGTGTTGGAGGTCCTTAGATGAGGACAGGGAGTACAGAATTGGTGTGCAAAGAGCAGTTGCATTCAAGGTGTTATCTCTGACATTATCTGTCAAACACATTTAAGATGTTATGAATTTTGTGTTAAAGTATCATTTGTTTAATGAACATGTAAAGTAATTGTTTTCAATAAAAATGAAAACTGATGTCCAAACACGTGCAAACTAGCATAACTGATCAGTTATACACTTGAAACATTATGCTTTAGGTACTGTGAGATAGTTTTGTTCTCATTTATGCTGGCGTTCCTCAGGATTGAGGCCTTAAAATACATGGTGCCACTGGGTTTCTAAAACATCCACCATGTGCCTTCCCGTCATCCTGTAAAAACCTGCACAGTGTTGCCATTTAAGTACTTTACCTGGTGACATCCAGAGCTTTCTGAACTTTTGCCTGCACAGAGCCCAGCAAATCTGCTCCCATTTTCTTCAGCAACTGTGTCAGGAGAACAAAAAGCCAATCCTGCAAGTCATCTTTGTGAATGATGATGAAATCAACCAGGGTTTCCAGAAACATGCTGAAGACCTATAAGCAAAACAAGCATCACAAGGAGGAAGGCTGTGCTTCAAATAAAAACTAATCAAAGTGGAAAGTTTTAAAAACCTGGGTTTCAGAAGTATTGTTACAGACAGTTTCATGAATGGATGATTTTAGTGACCTCACTGCTTTGAAAATAAAAATCAGACAGACATATATAATGTGCAGTATTAAAATACCACATGAAACAAATGAAGGAAGAGGAACAGAATACACTTACTCTCTGTTGTGAATTCCACAGCAAAGCAGGCCATGCAACAAAACAAACAACTTGTTAGCACACAGTGATCAAACATGATTGTTCAAATGCAGTTTGTCAACATTAAAGATACATTCATTCCAAGTTTACATTTTCTCAATACAAAATACCTTCTCACTAGAGTTATTTAAAACATTATATACCTTGCATCAGATTCAGCTCATGACAAGTTTTTTCCTCACTTCCCCCAGCTTATTCTAATCTCTGAGACTCTGGTCCTATCTGCTGGCCCAAGCAGTGTTTAGTAACAGCAGGGGCGGTGGGTAGAAAAATCCCTGATTTTGCAATAAAGGACTAATGTCTGACTTCAGTTATACTGTAGCAATTTTGTGATTGTAATTTGCACTTCAAACTGATCAGTTTTTGGCAATAATTCTATAAAAGCAGTGAAAAAGAGAGAATCGCTGTCATGGAGAACATACTTTGGTTAAGCATGTAATAAGCCATCACCTTATTTATACATTGGAAATATTTGCAAGCAGATAACTGTATCTATGCCTTTCCTACAAGGGACTGAATTTTTGAGAGTCAAAAAGTTAACACCTTACAGGTAGGAATTGTCACACATGTGACCTGTTGGCCAGCTGGTCCAGACTACAATTACTTGAGGAGTTGACAGCCAGAAGGCATTCAGTTGCTTGGGAAGCACAAGGTAACCAGCTCCTAGCATCAGCAGACAGGCTGGCATCCATACTTTCACAGTAAAACAATTTGAGGTTTATAAATGCCAGCTTTCCCCAGCAGATGGCAGGGGTAGAAATACAAAACATTCACCTCTGAAGAATATACAATGTAGATACATGGTAATTCAAGAGAATGACACAGTCTTTGTGATCTTACCTTGCTGTGAGGATCAGCAAACATGCGAGTAAATATTTCACACAGCCTTTTTAATTCCACTCGGCTAGAATGCGTAATAAAAAACAATATTAATGCTACATCTTCTGCTGACAAAAAAAACAAAACTAAAACAGTGCCACCTGAAAGAGATCAGCTTTCTTTTAAACATTCTTAAGTCACACTTCTGAAAACTCCTACATATCTCTAGGCAAAGCCTTGACTGGCATTCCAGTTCACGGTGCCAAAGCTCTTAATTTCCAGTATATTGAAAAACACAAGTTCTAGCTTTGCTTTAAAGTGTCAAAGAGTGTAAAAGTTTTGTTTGTTTATCATGCTAATGCAAACAGAGTGATTAACACTTCCTGCATACTATGGATGCAATTAGATATTTTTCCACAATTACTATGAAGCCAGAGCAACTACTAAAATGCACATCAATTGCTAGGGCAACAGCCATTTAGATCACGATTACAGGTACCCCCCTTTTCCATAAAGATGTAAATTCTACATTGCAGTCATATATACAGCCAGAATTTGCCAGTAGTCTATAACTGCTTTATGTTAGCTTGCAAAGATATGTGAGATTTTTTTCAATAGATCTGTTTAAAACAGCACAAAGACAACAGTCTGCCTATGAGTTGGATATAGAGAAAAAAGTACTTGTAACGATGCCAAAGAAAGCCGGCAGCTTCATTCAGGATGAGAATGCAATGTCTCAAAACATTGTCTTGACTTAATGCAGATTGCTGTTTTCTGAATAATGCTCCATTTGTTACTCTAATTAAATTTATTTGTGTGCAAGGGTTATGTGGAAACCGCACAGTAGCCAATCTGTTTTTCCTTGCTGTGCCAAGGTGACAGTGCAAGAAACAAACTGACGAGCAGTGGAAGGCCATTTCCTTATCAGATTTGTTGGTCCCATGTCATTCAGACAACCTTACTGGGGAGCCCAGCCACATAAAGTTGTAGGAAACAATGAGGAATATTAAGTTCCGTATGACTTTGCATGCACATCTTTCTGGACATGTAATTCACCACTGATGTAAGATTAGACGTCTTTCCATTCAGAACACTAAAGAAAACATATTAACATTATTGCTTTATATTAAACTTGTTATGCCTGAACAGAAGATACCAGATTTCACTAGAAGACAGGCTTTCCTCTTATACTAAAGGCTTTGATTATGTTTTTCATGATACTGTGAGAGCAGGATGAAGAAATCTGATCATTAGTACTGGCACCAGAACATCCCCGAACTAAGGTGTGAGCAGACCGAAAGCAAGCTGAAAAGAAATATAATCTGAAGAACTAAAACCAGTGCCAATTAAAAAAAAAAACAAAAAAAAACCAACCTCTGCAAGGGTGTACTTTCTGGGAAAGGTTTATAAACTATTCAGAACCAGAGCCAAGGAAACTTGCTAGCTCAAGAGACTACTGACATCAGTAATGTTCATATACTGCAACCAGAAGGAATGAAAACAGCAGCACCTCTACTAAAAGTTACTATGGGGGCAAATAGTCTGTCACCCCAATCGTCTCAGCACTTCCTGACTTGAAACATTCGCCCACAGTGTTCCAATCTATGATGATAATCCTTGCACACCTGTGGGAAAATCAAAATCTCACCCCAACTTTTCATACAAGTATGATAGGTGTCAGAGTTTTCTCAGAAAATTTGCTAAAATAGAGAAAGAAAAAATGACATCATTCACATGGGAAGAATCTTTTAAAATACTTGTAAATGGACTACATAAAAAGCCACTGCTGACCTAGGGACTCCACCATATTAAAAACCTGTAGCACTTCCCACCTCAGGATTGCAACATATCATGTGAAGTGCTGAGTATTTTTATGATGGCAAGAGGACGACCTTTGCAGGCTAGCTGTCAGTACATATTTATCCAGACTGTTAATGAGGACTGACAAACGCTTTCAGTCAGTATAAAGACCTTTTAAAAGCAAAACAGCTACACAAATACAAGCAGGTAGGAACTAAACCTATACAACAACTGACTTATATATCTAGCCGTAATTCAACTTCATAATATTCATAACATGAAAATAAAAATGTCATGGCTATTAGTAAATGCTACCTTCAAAGGAGTCAGAAGGAACAACTTATTTCCAAACACATCACTATAAACCAATAACAAAAAGCCTGCGGCACAGGAGTCAGTGAATGTGATCTACTCTATAGTTAATGTCACACGTAGCCATGTGAAGCTTCCCCATGACTGTTGTGTAATTCTAAGATCTGGTCTTATGTGTGACATGTCAAGGGTGTTGGAAGAGTTTATTTGGCTTTCAACAAAGGGAAAACATCTCTCTCCTAGCACACAATCTCAGAGTTGGCACATCTACTTCATTGCCTTATTAAACTTCCCTCTATCCTACAAATTACACCATTTATAGGACACTCAGGCTTTTGATATTTTTGAAGAGCTACAAATAATTATACTTGATGTGCTAGAAAGAGTCATGAGTAATTATGCCTAACACAGCCTTCACTACGAGTCAAAGTATACCCAACACAGGGCACATCATTTGATCTCATCTTTTTGAAACACACACACCCTGAGTTTTTATAGTAAACGCAGTCAGTATTTGCTTCTAAGATGCAGAGAAAAAAAGTACTGAAGGTTCAAATAGATTAATGTGAAAATGGTACCACCCATGGAATGCATTTTCATTACCATCACTGTGGGAAATCTCACTGTGCTGCAACAAGATGGTATGCTTGAGTACTATCTATGTTATTACTAAAAATTTCACACAAACAATAGCGATGACAGCAGAACCTCTTCTGAAAGTAATTAAGTCCCACATTGTGGAGACAAAGCTTCCACAGCTGTGAGAAGCACTATCTGTGTACGTGAGGGAAGTACATATTACTGACTTCTGACAAGAGCCGTCGCCCATGCACACCAACACTACAGAGCTATGAGAGTCACCTCAGCGTCCGCTGGCTTTTCAGTAAGTTCTGGAGACCTATGAGGCCCTCCTTCCTTTCAGACCAGTTGGAGCTGGCACAGTGGTTCAGGACCTCAGCCACATCTTCGGTCTGCCGCAGATAGTGAGGAATGCCTCCATTCCTGGAACCATAGGAGCGCTCTGAGCAAGCGCTTGATGCATCACTGTTAGCGTCATCGTCGGAGTACATCCCATAGGGTTCATATCTTCTTCTCACTGGCTTTTTCTGGGAAAGGGGAAACTGAGACTGAATAAATTATATACAGTGACATCACTTCTAAAAGAAAAATGTTCTACCCATAATCATTAATCAAGGAAGATTAATGCTACTGTTATAGTGACATGTTTTTAAAAGACATCACTAAGCACTGCCTGCTTGTCTCTCTCAGCAGAGAAAGACAGATCTCATTGATTTCAATGAGCATGAGTGGCCAGGGAGAGCAGGACCTGCTTTTCCCAGCATGAAAGTTCAATACTTATGCCCAGTGGAATTAGCTATATTAGCTATAACAATGAAATCGTAAGTTTTATTGTAAATAATAGTCAGTTCCATTGTTACATGTTCTGTGATGAAATAGCCTCTATTTCAAGAAAAAACAAAGATAAGGAAGAAAGAACTGTAGGAATCTGTGCTGGCACATACAGACATTTTTATATTGATGATGGAGTAACTCTAGAAATGCACTGGGATACAGAACAGTCTGTTATTTTGAGCTGATTTTTTTACATTTATTTATTTAGAGAGGTTCCTAAAGGTGATGAGTAATCAAATCCCACTATTTTCCATAGCATGGGACAAGTGGAGCACATCCTTGACAACCTCAGTCCTTACAAAAAGGATATTTCAATAATTTTGATAGCTCTACAAATTGTGTACTACAAAATAAACTTTTAAATGAATTTTAACAGAACAAAATAAGACAATGTCAGAAAAGATTGCCTAAATTCTAAAATATTTGATAGAGAATTCCTTCCAGAGTCCACTCCTGCAGTTCTCAGACTTGTGAAGCCAATAGAGATTTTCTTTGAAGTGAAGAAATCAACTCAAGTGCGGTATTATGGGTGTTAGCAATAGGGTAGGGAAAGTTGAAAGTAGAAATAAAAAGTCAAGAAAGCACTAGTACCTTGCTCCTGGAGTCTCCTAACAGCTGTAGAGGCAGGAAAATATTGAAGGGTGGGAAAAAGCATAGAGAATTATGTCAGAAGCTTATGTAGGGTTTTTGTTTTTGCAACACAAATGTATAGCAAATGCATCTTAGCAAATTAAAAAAAACACAACAGTTTATGCAAAGCAAAAGTGGGTATAATAATACCTGGCTTTATTTCCTATCAGCTGAACTTGTATATCTTGCACTTTCTATTACAGACCTTGGAAGTGAAATCACCTGTTATGCTTTTGATGACATCTACTAATGCAGCGCCCCTGCCTGCATCTCAGAAATGCTGTTTCTGGAAGATACCAGTTTTGGGTAGTGATTTTTCTCCGCACATTCTCAGTAGCTTTTGATTTCTCAAGTCTCAAAGAGATTCTGATGTCAGGAAACCACTATCTACAGTACAACACATCTAATCCAACTTCACTTAACCAGGTTTTCTTTCAACACGTAGTTGATTCTTTTTTTTTTTTGAAGCTTAACTTCTTCAAAAGACAAGCTGGCGCCCACGACTTCAAGGCCTTCACACCAAAGATTCCATCACCCTTTGAGCTTTCCTGACAGATCCAAGCACTGATTCAAAGTATAGACTGTGTTCTTAGGCCAAGTTCAGCTCTCAGACAGAAGCAGTGGATCCAATGAGAATTATATGCATGGAGCAAAGGTTACAGAATGACCCACTGAGTTTTGTTTAAACTTGGCTAAAGACATCTCTATAGCAGCTTTTTTTTTAAAAAAAAAATCTTACTACAGGAAAAAGAACACTTGTTTGAGAACAAGGTTGCTGTGTAAAAGCTGGCATCACACTAATCTTTCAAAATGAGCCCAAACAGAGTTTGTAAATTGCTTGTCAAGAGGAAGCAACTAAAAAAAAAAAAAAAAAAAAAAGAACAGAGGAGGTGAGAAAGAAGGGACAACAAGATCACATTACATCCATTAAAGTCATACGAATTCAGATTGATCATCTTACACGTATCAAGGTAGCTAAAATGCTTTCCACCTAGACTCACAGACTTCCCTTTTAAACGCTTAACTCTTTAAATAACATTTTAATATTCCAGCATAAAGTTACTTAGTTTAAAACAGTGAAATACTTAGAAGTGAACTTAGAAGTCCAAGCTGAAGTCACACCAAGAAATCTTAAGTGATCAACAGTGAACTGGAACACCACTGCTACCCTCTCCACCTCCGTCAAGTAACCAAGTGTTCACTGCTCACATTCAGGGATACAGCATGATTCATTTACAAAGGCAAACTATCACCTATAACTATGCTGTGAACTACTATGGTGGCAAATTTGAGGAGCCGGGAGCAAAAACTGCCTCATGATCTGCTGAATTTAGTAATGAAAATGCCCACTAAATACAACAGCGCCATTATATACTGTCCTAACTCAGTATGATTCAAAAGAAATTATTTATTCAAAAAAAACAACAACAACAACAAAAAACATTTTTCTAGGAGTACTCTAATAATACTCTAGAAATGGAGGTGAGGTAAGCTACATGATGATTGCAAAAAGGAGAATGATGTTAGCCAATATTAGAGAAAGTAAACTAGGAAAAATGGAAAAAAAAACAAACCCAAACCTTTCACAAACTCTGGGGACATTATTTGTTCTCCAAGACAAACAAACAGATATCTGCTTCAGGTATATCAGGAAATCCTCATCTCAGCTTATGTCTAGAGGTGAGGAAGACCTAAGGTTCACCCAAATAATACTTCAGAGTAAATGTTCCTGCCTCTTAAACACCCTCTGTCTCCTCAAGCCCCAAAGTAAATCCAAAAGTTTATGACAGCACTCAGCTTCTGAAGAGCAAAAAACATCTTCTGTATTCTACCCAAGAGATTTTATATTGCTGTAACATTATATAGGACAATACATTTTTAATAATGACAAATTTACTCAGAAATGCACTTAATATTTAGAAAATAACGGCCGTATGTTACACAAACACTCCAGTTTAACTGCATGAAATGATATCAATTACAGAAAAGCCAAGCTTTGAGCTGATCTAAATACCTAGCTAGGTGTAAACAACAGAGCAGGACATGACAGAGTTCTCAGTTCTTTCCCAGACAAATGGAATCCCATCTTTCCCAGACAGTTAATGGACTCAATGGAATTCCCTCACACCACAGGTGGTGAGCACCCACGCAGTGCAGCAAACAGCTTCCAACAGCAAATCATAAGACAATCAGCTCATTCAGCTTCTCCTGCGGCTCCAGTACCGAGCCTCATTAGTCTAACTGTGGAGAACTAACATGGAATGAGGAAAAAACGTTGCTGCTCGTATACTCATGCACAGCACAACACAAGGTAACCAACTCGACAGCATCAGACACTCAGCACAATCAGAACAAAGCTACTTAGAAAGAGGAGAATGTACGTACAGGTAACTTTAAGCCACTTTCCGGTGTCGGAAGCATTTTGTATTTTTCCCCTTACCAGTGCATCAGCCACAGCGGCCTCCAGGTCTGTGCTTGTGCTTAGGACTCGCATGGCATTCACAGAAGCAGGCATCCTGCCTGACTGTCCGAGTCCAAACCGGTCTGCACAAAAGACAACATTGAAAGGGATTGTTAAGTAAATTCACATTCACTTGGAATCCTAATCAGGTGTCTGAACAGTCCTCCCCAAAGGATCTGGGAACTCTCAGTGCTTTTTCAAAGACTCTTTCATCCACAACTCTACAAGAGTTTGTCATGACATTAAGAAATAAACTATTGTTTGTCGGGCCCCCAAGACGATTTCAGATCCTCGGGGCATGTCTTTTTTGTTTTTGCTGGGTTTTGGTTTTAAGATGGGAAGAAGGGTATCTAATTTGTGTTTATTTTTAATAGAAATTATTTGGGGTTTTATTTTAATGTCAGAGGCAGACATGCAGGTCCCAGTCTGGCTCTCTCAGGAATCAACTGAAGACTTCTCATTAACTTCTGAGAAACAGAGCTGTGCCCAGTGTCAGAGTTGCATGTTAATAGCAGAGCACTCATCTCGTAAGCTTGTTCTCAGGCAAGTACGTGAGATCATCAGCAGCAGTACATTAGCTCTCTTATGTTGCAAGGCTTGATTAACCAGAACATCTCCCTACGCCTCAAAGAACAAAAATAAGGTTTATTATTTGTTTGTGAAGTTATTCCAGCTCTGTTTTGTTGTTGCTCTTGAGAAGCAGCTTAAAAGTACACTGAACTGAAATGCAATTCAAAAGTTTTATGATAAAACAAATCTTTCTTGGGGGCGGGATCATACAATATCATGTCTCCCTATGAATTGATGGCAAAGCTCTCAACACATCCAAAATAACAGGATTAAGTCCCAAATGCCACTTACATCCACAATAATCACTAGCTTACTTCATCATTTGCCCAGAGTCTGATAAAAACATTGCAGAATGAATTTCTCTGAGCAAAAGTCGTATTTGGAAAGCTATCACTAGCAGTGATACAGCAGAATCAGCAACCGGAGCCACAGGCCAGGCTCCAGCAGGGCAGCCCCTCCAGATCAGAGATCTATTTCTGCAATCCTGGCTCCAGTCAATAACCAGAAAGAGCCTGGTTTCAACATTTCAAGTTTTTGTTTCCACCTGGGGCTGTCTTTGCTCCAGAATGGCTGGGAAAGATCCCTCTGGGACATATCTTACACCATATGTGCCAATAAGAGCTCTACCAGCATTTCAGAGGTGCACAAATGAAGCTGCACAAACAGATCATCAGCTGATCCACATCTTTCAGCAGTTCATCTATATTTAATTTAACGAAGGAAAAAGACTGATTATTGAAATATGTGTTTCCGTCGTGGATTTGCACAAATTGAACGTTACATTTAGCAGTTTACTGTATTTATTTATTTTTAAAAACTCTGCTTTACTGTATTTATTTATTTTTAAAAACTCTGCTTATCACACAGTTGTGTTGCTTTTCTCTTTAGAAGCCTATTGCACTGAAATCTCTTTTAGGGAATTTGCTCAAACTGCCTTGCATAACTGAAATCAGGGTCTGAAGCCTGCCCGTCTGTCATCCTAATTTTAAAGCTTTACCTGAGCACTTCAGAGCAAGGATTAAGATACAGAGAGGAGAATAAAGACAACTTTTTAAAACCTAAAATATTTTTGAGAAAAAAAGATGAAGATTAGCATTTATTTCAGAAGTGTTACCACAACTTGCTCTTTCTCAGTTATGCAACCAGACGAGACATTTCTGATTTACAACAAAAGCACAATTTCTACAAAACACATTACAAGAGGAAAAAAAACAAAAACAAACATCTTAGAACTACTGCCAAAAAGTAATCAAATGATATTTCACAAAGAAATAAAAGTTGTATGAGTTATTACTATCCCCTTTTTTAATGCACTCGGGTTGAAGAATCATTTCAAACATGTAGCTGAAACCATACTTGATCCCTAAAATGGAAAGATCTGTTTACTCTTAGTGGAAGCACAGAAGATGATAAACTATTGAGTCAGACTGAATTTGAAGTCACTGTTACAGAGATACATACTAGAAGATGTACAAAAGATGAATATTTTTCTAAGTGGAAATGAGACCTGGTACAACACAAGGGCTGTAAATGTTGAGACAAGTTCTGGACTCAGCTGCATTTAAATCTACTAATTTGACAATGTTATTCAAGTCTTACTGAGATCAGAATTTGGCTTTATAGCTTTCAAATGGCACAATATCATATAATATCACTGTTACACGTTTTCATGTTAATTTAGTATTACATTAGAAAAGGGAAGATAGCTTTGTTTTTATTTAAATAAAAAAAAATGAAGAACAAAATGACAAAGTAATTTAACTGTAGGTCAGTTTAAATACCCAGCATAAAAAGGAAAAACAACAAAACAAAACAGGGCTTTTTAATCAAATTGAGTAAGCACAAGGTGGCATGCTGTCTTTTATCCATCCCCAACAGCTGTCAGGAAATCTTTAAAACGCTTCTTGCAGTCACTATTAAACCCATAACATCCATATCAATGTGGGCTTTTCCCACACTGCTGCCACACCTCAATGCACACATTTGATCTTAGAAGGAAGCTCTCTGCCATAGGGCTGGGAATGTATTTGGCTCCAAGAATAACCCTTAGAGACAAGCCCAACGTTACTGTCAATAAATAAGCTGAACAGTAGGTGCTCTCTCTGGTCAAACTCACTTTTCCTTCTGGCTATGTTAATTACAGTTGTTGCTTGGTGAAAAATTCCTTGATTTTGCTACTTCTTTGGCTTTCTTTAGAATCAAGATAAGCATATATAGTCTCATTATGCTTTGTACCAAACCACTGGAGCAAAGCATGAATTGACTATCACGCAAAGTTGAAGGAAAAAAGCTTAAGCTTAGATCTCAATTAGATTTGAGGGCCCTTTTTGTTCTTGACAATTTTTTTCAATACGAATTCAAACTGCTGCTTTGAAACATGCCAGAATCAAACCCGCTTGCATCATTTCTGCAGTAGCTCGATAGGGGAAATGTTTTGAGTTTAAGTGACAGAAATTTAACTGCACTTAAGAGGAACAGAACATTTTTCACTGCCTATTTGAAGAAACTTTGTTAACTAACTTTTAGTGTCACTAATTCCTTATGCAGTTTTAGCCTCCAATCAAACACTGAAGCTCTAATTCATCTTCTACATCATCTTCGTACCCACATTTGAGTTTCTGCTGACCTAACACTAGCAGCACTCATTCGTTTTTGCTTAAGACTCCTAGTGAAATATCCTGTTCTCAAAGGGAGTTGCAGGAATTCCACAACTGCAAATCCAGCATAGGAGAGGAGAAGGCATCTGGAATCTGAAGGTTTTCCTCGCTATTTTCTACTATGCAAAACCCACTGAAATTAAAGGAATTATTTTTCCAGCAACTTCCACGTGCTTTGCATAAGGTCTTCAGTAGAACACAAAGGATGAATTAGCACGTGTTATGCTCCAATGTTCATTCTGAAAACTCATCAGATGCTTAATTCTTGCTGCTTTTGTGAATATCAGACAGGATCCCAAAGCGCACTTTCATTAACAGACAGGAGTCTGAAAAACTTAGTAATAAATGGAATGAGACCCACTGGGATCCTGTCCTAGACACTGGAAACTGCTACAGTGCTGAAGAGGAAACAGGCATGAATTGCAAGGACTCTGCATTGTTCAGGATCTAGCTGATCCAACTGATCCAATTTACAAGAGAACTGAGAAAGCCCTGGATCACCCTTTGTTCAAATACTGCTCACAACGTTCCTGAAGTATATAAAATAAAAACATTCAATAAATGAAATTTTCAAAAAGAAAAAGCCATGTTGAACAAAACAGAACAAAAAGCCTCGCAGCGGTGAGAAGCACATGCCAAGTGCTGGCTGATGCACATGACAGCAAATGTTAAAATGGTGTAAAACAAGACTACATATAAGAAGCAGATTCATGCAGTTAGCGCTTGTTCACCTGACTGCCCAACAGAATCAGCAGTGGAGAGAGCACTAGTGGACCTGGAATGACGTCGAGAAGCTGCAAGTAGAAGGAATGGCAACACCCACAGGATTAACACACATTTAACCCAAGACAGAAAATGCCACAATCCGAAGGGGATGCATGTGAACATTACCAGTAAACGTGTTTCATAGTGACAGGAAATGACGTTGTATATGAATGCACAACAGATACAGTGCAAGCCCCACAGAGTCATCTCCATCTGTAGCTTCTCTTCCCCTTCCCTCATGACCATAAACACGATGCATGACAAAACTCATTTGTAACAGTTGCAAACCCAGTGTAGTTTCAGCAAAGAAAACCAGTGTGCGTCAGTTCCATTCCAGAACCACAGATCTGGAAGATGGCCATCATGACAACGTGGAGCACATAACCATAGAGCAGGATTTAGATGTGTCTGATCTAAACCCCAATGGGAAGCCATGAAAAATGGTTACAAACTGTGCTTGCAGGTCTTTTTCCAAAACATTCTAGCCTATGCAAAAAAAAAAAAAAAAAACAACAAAAAACAATGCTCACAAAAAGAACGAATAACCACAAGTTGAAAGAGTACAAGGAGTCATACAGGGAGGTCAGCCAACAACTGCTTATAGCTCTTTTGTTTTTGACGTAATTTTCTTTCTTCAAATAAACACACATACTGGAGCTGTTGCTACTACCAAAAGTCTTTTGCTCAAACAAATTTTGTATACATGCTTTTTAATCTAATTCACGTTTAATGTGAATATGCACATACATTTATTTAGGACTGTACCATATGTATACAAACAAATTGTTAATAGCAACAGAACAGACAGTAGCAGAAGAGCTGACGCCAAATATAGCTCCTATTTCAATTCTCAGCTGTCAGCAGCACATGAATCACAAAATGCCTTTGGACAGATTTTCAGTTACCGGATTCAGCATAAAGGTGAGTTAGTTCTTCATGAAGGCAAATGGGAAGCCAGCCCAGACATTTCTGAATTACAGAAATTTAACTTTTCTGAAGAGGATTTTCCCATGTGCAGCAATGATACATTCACCTAACTTAAAAAGCAAACACTGATCGTCTGTGTGAGCAATTTGTCACCAGACTCACCAAAGGCCTTGTTGATGCAACATCATAACTGATACTGTCAAGAAATTGAAAAAAAAAAAAAATAAATCACTATCCAATAGCTTTGTCAGTTGTGTGTTTGTGTGAGCAATAGAAAAATTGTCTCCACTTAAGCATTAATAAACAAATGCTAGTAATATAAAAAAGTGTGCAAAATGAGAAAAAGTTCAAATTTCCTCCCAGTTGTGACAAGTTGGCTGAAGCTCCACACAGTATGCAATGTGGTCTTTAAATACGCAGGACACTTGCATTTATTCAGGAGAACAATCCCGCTGACACCATAAGCAAGCCATGACAGATTTGCAGGATCAATACAGAACCATGGTCTGAACCCTCAACTAAAATTCTGAGCTTGCAAATGTTTTCTTCTGAGCCATCCACAGATGTCTCATAGGTGTCTCTATAGATTTCATTGCCAGATCAAGGCCCAAGACAAAACAGCAATAGAAATAATAAAAATCACTTATCCTCAATAATGTTTTTAAATAAATCATATCATCGACGCTTCCAGGGAGGGGGCATTCACAACCTCGCTGGGCAGCCTGTTCTGGTGTCTCACCACTCTCACAGTGAAGACTTTCTTTCTAATACCTACTCTAAGTCTACCCTCTTCCAGTTTAAAACCATTTCCCTTCAGCTCACTCAAGCCTCCTAACTTGGAAAGAAAGACAACACACACATCTGCATGGAAGCTTTGAAAATAAGCAACTTGCAAGGCCAGGATGCCAGTGCTGACACTGATCATTAATACTGCTAAATGCAGGAATCCTGCCGTTTACATATAGCTAGCTTAAGTAAAATTCACTAATACAAAGTTAATCTTCGTGAGCAAAAATGGACTACGCTATTTAGGGATTAATGTAAGATTAACTGGATTCTAAAAATACAGTAATGGAACCATCTTGGCTTAAATTGCTATATATACACACACACAGAGCTTACTTTCAAATGAGTTACAAGCTACAGAATGAAGTTTGTGAACTTAAGCTGTGTTCCAGCTTACAGCATTCAGTGAAAATACAAGAAAAGGGATAACAGAATAGCAACTATATTAGGTTACCATTACACTTCCATTACACTTCCATTACACACTACCACTACCATTTCCCCCCATCTTCCATTTTCCCTTTCCCGACTGTATAACAACTGTATCCCTAGAAATGAATTAAGCTTCATTAAAATGAAACACTCCTCCTTCCCACTATGAGATTTGTTGAAACCACTGTAATACATATATGTAATTGAAATTTCATATTCAGTGCACAAGTCAGACTTGGTGGTGGTGCACAGAATTCACACCAACTGTGGTACTGGAATGCTGCATTTAATTTTTTAGATCAAAGGCTCAAGATGGTATCTCAATGTAATAATAGAAGAAACAGCAAAAAGACAGAATACAAACAAGTTAGCCTTGACATGCAGCATGCTCAAAACATTTTGGCTGGAGAAAACAGCCTCATACAAAACTGAAGCTACACAGTTAACTATAAAAACAAGCTACAGTTGGATATTTACCATTCCTTTATGGCTCTGATATCAAATCAGCTTCATTTAACCGATAAAAAGCCTCTTTGAATTATCTAAAATATCTGAATGCTAAATTGAACTCCAGCCATTCTTCAGTAAATTTGAGATATTACAGATAGATTATATTTCATAAATGAATTAAATAATGAATTTCTGAACCCAAAACCTTGTTGAAGATTCTACTCTGCATCACCAAAATCAATAGAAATTTTGGCAATGATACGAAGACAATTGCACTCTCTCCTCTGACAGCACTGGAAGTCAGCATGAGTAAATGAATCAATATTGACAACAGCTATGTAGGTTTAACAGTTTATGCCAAGTACATTAACTAGGAGAACCAAACAGGAATATTTTGCCCATTTATCCTTTCTTTTTTAAATAACCTTTTCTTACCAACTGATTTGATGCAGAATTAAGTCCAAAATATTACATTTTACTTACATAGTATTTCTTACAGTTATATTTTGTCACTTACGTGCAAAACATATCTCGAAATAAAATTATTCAGCCCTAAGTATATAAGATCTTCCTTCTCACTTCTACACATGCACAACTGTTAAATTACTATATATGGGAAACGGGGCTGGAGATAAGCTATGCTTAATTATGTCTGAGATGACAAATTTTTCATACAACAAACAATGTAGTTGGTTGAATACATATGACATGATATTTGATCAGAAACATTAACTATCCTGTTTTTAGCCTCGTGCAGAAGAACATCCTGCATGTGGTAAGTGTAATGAGATTTCCTATTCATACCACGCACCCAAGCTGTATGATAGTGGTGCTCCTTTAAAACTTTAGCCTTTTTATTTCTGCCTGCTTGAAAGTCTTCTATGAAATTGCACGTGCTACTTATGATTAAGAGTGTTGAATAAAACCAGTACAAAAAGAACACTCTCTTCGTTGCAGGATTTATAATAGAAAGGACATTGCACCTACTTGCAAGAAAATCAGATCATGGATAGATTTAATCAACAACAGACTACAGTGGTACTGACTACTTCACTGTGACCTAGAAAATGCAAGCTTACTCTCCCATAAATTTGCATCAGTGCTGTAAAGCACGGCAGCCCCACACAAGCTGATTTAATGAAACTGAAAAATAACAAAATTCAGGCTACACTATTTTCATACTAATAGTGAAATGCTGAGAACCAGAATTGAAGCATGCAAAAGAAAACAGAAGGGAAACAGGGTTGGAAATAGGGAGCGTGTCAGAAATCTAACAGAAGATAGGAAACAAGCTCATTTCACCTGGCAGTGCCTTGATCTTGAAGGGGCAATCAGAACAAGGAAAAAAGGGGAAAAAATTGATCCTTAAAACTCCAATGCCTACAAAGTACTCACCAAGTGGAGGAAAGCCCCGAGCAGGGCTTGTATCTCGACTGCTCTCACGGCTGGTATCACGGCTGCACCCCTGACTCATGCTGGGTCGGGGGATACGACTGCTCCGTGCTAGCATGCAGCATGGAGAGTTTCAGAGAAGGTGAACAAGTTTAATGAGGACAGAAAAGCTCAAAGTCAAGTCACATTTCTGTTAGTTAAGGTAATTATTACATTAGTAATCATCAGTTTTAGCAGCCAGCTCAGGCTCTTACAAACCAACTATGCTACGTGCTGAGCTGCGTTTGTGAAGTGAAATTTCATCAGTATTAAATGTCTGGCTGATAGTATCCTCGTTTCTTAAGCAATCCAAGTTGTGTCATTCAAGTGGAGTAGGACATCTTCAATCATTTAGGGAAGCTCTACAATTACAAAGCATGCAAAACAGATGAAGCTACAAAAAACTCTCATGAAAGATTTTTTCCTTAATTAAAAGATAAACATCCTTCTGGAACAAAGAAGCAGCATTTTTAATCAGATTAAAGCGTTTTAAAAGTCTGTCTCAATACCAGTATAGTAACTTTGAATAGATTTCGTTTTTACAAGGATAACTTTGTCCTGAACAAATAACCTAAGAAAAAAAACCAGTACACACTGAAGGAATTTTCTCTAACAAATGATACTGGGAAAAATCATTCAGACCTAAATACCTGAAAGACAGCTTTGAAAGTGGTTTGAATTTCAAGATAGCAACAGTTTCATTTTCATTTTTATTTTTATTTTTCAAAACAACAGCTGTCTAACTTCTGATCCTCAACATTTCCAAGCCTTACACTTATGGATGAGACATATGCACATATAAGGAGAGTCTTTAACTACAATCTTTACTTTGACAAAGCCTTGCATCAAGGAGACTTATCTGTGGTCTGGCAGCTATAAAGCGTTCCGTTTCCCCTAGCAGATTTCCATCTATCAGCCATGTCAAAGCAACTCATCATATGCAGCTTTCATTGGGCCAAATGCACAACAGAAGACAGAAGATGCAGCGGCTTTCTTTGTAACAAGCAATCCCACCTTACTTCATTGGAAATTTTGTCCATGGAGGAGAAACAGAACTACAGTGCTTTCTGAAAAGTTACTTAATATTCTGGATTTGAATTTTAGTCTTTTAAGGAGAACAATTAACTCCTGTGCAAATTCTTTGCCATTGATATGAAAGATGATAGCAACATGTTATTAAAAAAAAAGCTCTATGCCCAGTAGAGAATAACACATTTTTGGATGCAAAAAATGGCAACTAATTGTCATAAATTTATTTTGAAGAACTTAAGAGCTTCTGTGAGCTCACCAAGAAAGCAGATCACACACTTATGCAGCTCCTCTTTTTGATGAGGAGATTTAGATATACGAGAAAAACCTTGCCAGAAAATAATGTCTGATTCTGAATGGTCATTCATGCCTTGGATGTGTTAGTATCCTTTCAAGCAAAACAGTACAGTGTACAATAGAAACTTTCATATCTAAGCTTTAAAATTTAAAATATAAGCTTTAATATACTGCCACATTCTTGGTTTGTCATATCCCTTCCAAATTTGTTAACTCCAACTAAAATCTTTTAGATGAATTAATGGTTCTGATGCTTGAACTTTGATGTCAGACAATACAAGATGAGATAGTGACCAAGCTGATTTGATCAGTGCATGTCTAAAAAGCCTATGTGAATTAGATGGTCTTGTAATAAATAAGGCAGAATAATAAAGAGTTTGAAATTAGGGTCCACAAGTACAGTGATCCCATGTCAGGCTTACAGGAATAAAGCTGTAAGGTGAACTACAGATAGAGGTAACAATCTGAAGTCTCCTGCACAAATACTTGCTTCAAACTGCAGGCTCTCTAGAAGCTAGTTCCTCATTCTTGGGTCTCATGCTTCTATGTAGATAATGGTAGCCTTCACATCATGTTTGCACAAGCAGTCATTTCTCTCAAAAGAGATTTATCAGTCTTTTCTATAATGCAACCCTAAGTCCACCAAAGGCTCTTCAAAGAGAGGGAGTTGTGAATGATTAAAAAAATTGATGTTCATAGTACATCCTCCTTCCATTACTGATAATCACAGCAGCATGAAGTATGAAGACAAAGCACTTTAAACTGCATTAAAGCAGTCTAACAAGACAAAGCCAAAGATAAACCACAATATTGACCACATAGAGAAAGCCCAAAAGCAAACAGTGTATTTCATGAGCAATGGTCCAAAGATTTACACGTTACTAAAGAGAGAAATACAACAACAACAAAAAAAAGAATGGATTGAAAAGAACAAAATGATGAGTCTGTTGCGGACTCCCAGGCATCTGCCCCACCATTTGTTGTTTTTTTTTTTCTTTCTGTTTTGTGCAGAGAAGATTGAATATCAATTATTCAAGAGTATTTTGTTCAGGTACTACCAAAATCAAGGGCCAGCAGCACTGTCATTTAGACAAACTTTTCATATACCCAAAGCCTGACTGTCTTTTCAGAAGACAGACGAGAACTTCAGAATTCCCAAACTCCACCAGCAGAACTCAATCATTCCCCTGTTTATCAATTTACCACTTGGAAGCCTACATTTCATTAAGGTGTGGTTTTTAATGATTTCTAAGTCTGTAAAGTCTGTAAATGCCACCAAAGCAGCCCATGCCAAGCACAGCAGTAGGATACACCCAGCAGAGGCAAGCAAAGAGCTGCCTTTGACTTTCCAATAGATACACACAGCATAACTACTGATGAAAAACTGCGTGCTATATGTTCACCAACTGCACCTGCACCACTTTCTGAAGAACAACATTATCTCACATCTCTTGCTTCTTTCAAATCCAACTTGCAATCAAAGATCTGACTCCTCACCTCCTAAGCTCAGAATCTGGGAGGCGCCATGGAAGCTATATCCCCACTCTGATGATGGGCTCGAGGGGAGAAGCAGGTAGCTGGCCTTCGGCACACACCCACACTGCAGCACCTGTCAGGATACACAGCCTACTGAGCATCCAACAGCATCCATTTCCAAGGCTTCCAGCAAACAAGAAAAATACAAGAGTATGCATGGACACCTGTGATCAGCAATGAAATTAATCTGGCAACAAGCTACTGATGCTTACAGGCATCCACATGCAAGGCTCTATTAGCTTACACTGTCTTTGCTTTCCAAAAGGCCTTATGAACTCCAGTGGGTGGCTGTTCTGTACAGCCCCACCCCATACACACACTTGCATTGTATGCTTACTCTTGCACACAACTGCAACTTCTAGTCGCCCTTGCAAAATACTACACGTCAACTCAATGGATGAGTTATGAACAGGACCCAGAAATCACCCATTTCTAACAGCTTGATCTGCAAGATTATTCAACACCCTCTGCACTGCAAACATGACTATATAAGTTAAGAGAGATTTCAGTCCACGGGTTAAGATCATAATCCCACAGAGCTTAAAGGATTGCACGCACATTTGATGCTGAATGTGAGCTCAAATATTTGAATTAGAGTGTGAAGTTTATTGGCATCCTTAAGATCAAGGTGAATGGGAGTCCATTTAATGAAATGAGTGAGTGAAAAAAAATGTGTCACAAAGACAGAGAATGAAGCAACACAAAAAAACAAAAACTGTAGCTACTTGTAAGTCATAAACACAATGGGATAATGGTATAAAGATCAAAGTTACCTTCATATCATATTCAAAATTCGATAGAGACCATTTCTGCAACTGAAAGCTAAAGCCAACACAAGTGTTAAACTACTGCTCTCACGAGAGCCTGAAAGAACAGGCTTTGGTCAGTCATCAACTTGGGAATGGGTAGAAAACATACATCTGATAGATGACAGAGTTCTCTCACTCTCAAACACTGACTGTTCACAGACAGCACATCAGAGCAGTGAGAGACATGCTACATTTCCAAAGGATTTCACGGCTCCCATAATATACCTGAAAGCAGGCAACCCAAGAGTGAGGATTTTACAAAGTTAATTCAGATGCTAAACACCGTTTCAAATCAGACCACGTAACACGATGATAAACTTAAGCATAATTGATGGTGCTGTCCATCATTCTTCATTTACTTTCAAAATGTGTGTTCTTTTGCAGAGTGACAGCACAGTTGTCTCTATTTGGAAAACACCACATTTTGAAAGTAATGAACAGAAGAGCACAAAGCATTCATACTGAAGTCATAAAATAGATCAGACTAAGAATACTACTAGAACTGGAAAAATAATCACAATAACCATGCAGTATTTTTTATGACCCCTAACAGCATGTATACTCACGTGCTTTAAGTGCATTTCAGTATATTTGAATAAGACACTTCTCTAGAAATGCTCTAAACAGAAATGCAGCTTACATTTCAAATATAGTTGCTAATGTAATAGTTAAAAATTCAACTGCCAGCACTAAAGTCATTATTTCAATTTAATCTACCAATAAATTTTTTGAAGATACAAAATATAGTAACAGTTCTTTAAAACGACTGAAAGCATTTCCATTTCAGAAATGAAAACAGTATTTACTTGCTTAGCCCATTTTTTTTTTTTTTTTTAATCTCAATTCAGGTACACAAAAATTTCTATACAACGATGCTTACCCACCTGTTCATAAAAAAATGAGTCTGCTGATAAATTTGAAAATAAATATTATTACGGATTATTTTCACAGCAGTCACTGAGCCAAAAGAACTTCGGAAGCAGAATAATTAAAGCATAAGTTTAAAATACCATCTAAAAAGTAGCTCCAAGACATTCCAGACAAGAAGCAAACATTTAAGCTGCAAAAATTGTTAAATGATCACAGAAGATGCTCAGCACCCTTGATTTCAGCTAACTGTAAAATTGCTCAGCTGGTCCGAGGACTAAGCCACTCATGTAAATGAGGTATTTTTGCTTTGAAAGTTATTCATGGCAACTGTTTTTGCTGCCTGACCTAAAAATATCACTCACATCATATTTCAAACAGGAGATACAAACATCTTTGGGTATTTTGAAACTATGCCTCAACCTGGAAAATTAGAACTACTTTCCTACAAGCCATAATAACTAACAGTTCATTTCTGGAAATAAAACATTAACTTGCCAGTTGAGGAGTTCAGAAGAAAGCCAACAACCACATACATGTTTTATGTTCAGTAGGAAAGCCCACCCTTTGAGCACGCTGGCCAATGTGTCTCTGCAGTGACTACTCTTACCTAGTCCTATTCTGTTGGGACTCGTCTCTCGACTGCATCCCTGGCTCCGGGGGATCTTGCTGCGCTTCTCTGAAGATGATGGCACAGGTTGAACTCTGGATGTTCCACTGCTCAAGCCACCATAGGTGCTTCCTAACAGCTTACCCGGAGAACTAGACCGACTACCAGCTGGAAGAGAACCAGAAACGAGGAATACAAGCAGTTAAAAAAATAAAAAAAGCAAAACCAAAAAACCCGATACCTCCGACACCTTAAATACTGATGGCAAAACTGAAACAATCAGCTCTAGCAGTGTGACCCAAAGCACACAGAAAATTAATGGGACAGCTTCCCACGGGCTTTAAGAGGATGACTGAAGAAAGCCCGTGGACAATAAACACTGACATTAGCAATTCTGTACATATGCATGGTGCTACCCAATCAAGATCAAGACCAAAACAGACACTGCAGTGCAGGAATATACTAAGCTGAATATCAGTGAGCTTGTGGAGATGCCGGGAGCAGCCTTGCAGCAGCAACATAGGGTCCATAGGCTGCTTTGCCTCAACAAGCAGCAACAAGAATTAGCTCATGTGGAGCGCTGTGCAGCAGATAACCAGCTTTTGGCACAGGTAAGCTGCTGCAAGCCCCATCTTCACATTATGCTACAGTGGTGACATTGTATTCCTACAGTAATTCAGGGAAGAAAAAACATTGCCAACAAAAAAAAAATACTGTCTCAACAGCAGCAAACCAGCATGTTGAAGGGTAAACCAACTAACCCTGTCACAATTGTAGAGATGCCAGTTTACTTGGGTCTGACTATAGCTAAATAGTTATTTTTCAGCTGGAAAAAGAATATTTAGCAAGTTAAATAGTTGGCTGGGTTTATTTTTCATTGTCATTTTGAATTGTTCATGGTAAGTTTACATTTTTTCTAAGCCATGATGTCTGGTCCGCTGACCAAGATTTAGTTACAACATTTACATTCCAGTTGCAACAGACATTTGCCCAAAATATTCATGCTGTCAAACTCAATAGGTTGAACAATATAATTATTTTTATCCAGGGAATCTTATTTTTGTAGCATGTTTCTGTTGAAAATCAAGTAATGCTGGCTTTAAGGTAACCAAGGAACTATAAAACTAATGGATTTAAGACCCTTTTGTTTCTTTAGGTATACAAATTACACAATGAACATTTGCCACTGATATTATCATCCCTAACATACAACATTTTGTTGTTGCTAGAATAGGAAGGAAAACATCTAAAAAAAGGTTGCAAAAATATTCTCTGGCAAGTTCATATTTTGTACAAATACCCAAGTTGCTTGCTTTCTAAAATGTACACATCTCAAATATTTAAGTCCCAAACTCTGTTACGATTAATAAGAGACAACTAAGAGATAAAGAGTGTTCTTAATTTAAAGAAGGTATGCAGTTTTACTTGTCTGATGGACAAAAACATAAAAGCATGTATTATTTTAACTTGCTTGCTCCCCTCCTTTCTTGGATAAAGCCATTTTGAATCAAATTATGTATTCTAATATCCCCCCCAGAAGTGAGAGCAGTTGTGAAAGATGCCAGTTTCTCTCACAACATCCACACCCTGAAAGCCAATGCTCCTATCAGTTACTCTGCTGCATTCATTGATGTCAGTGGAGTCTCACCAAGATAACTGTAATATGAGGAATTATATGCATGAAGTTTAAGCTCCAGGAGCTTCTCTGCAACGCTTATAACAATGAGCCAGCTTTAATATACAATTTATTTATTTTGATTACTTTGAGAAATCTAGGTCATCTGCCATACATATTGGTTTTCTAATTTTAGGAAAATGCTTTTTAAGCCTTGATAACCAGGAGAGAATGAAGGAAGCTAAAAGCTTAGCAGTTAAAAAAACTGAAGGAAATAACATGAGAAAGCAAGAAAGGGAAAATGTTTCTTACCACCAGCAGGATTAGCTGATCTGGATCCTTGATTATGAGGGCAGACCAAAGGACAGGCAAAAAGTGGATTAAAAGACATGAAGACAGTACAGCGTTCAGCATGCAGTTTATGCTATACACAGACAGATATATTCACAAACGTGCCACTCCAAGAGCCCCTGCAGAACGCAGTGAGTTAATGTGCAAATGCAAGTGATTTAATTTCCAAAGGCTTAACAGCTTCTCAGCAGTATCAACCCACACTGAGACATAAGTTCTGCTTAAATTATACCCCAAGCCCATGCCGTAAAACTGAAACAAAGCTACAAACGCACAGGCATACAAGTTTGTTCCTCTGGACATGTTATACATTAATCCATTATTTACTTCATGTAATGCTTGGATTAGGAGATTAAAGATCACATCTAGTTGTGCTAAGCTGGAATCAAGATTTAGCAAAGTAGACCAACAACAGGTACAGATGTGACTATCCTACAGCCTCATAAGTACATTGCATGAAAAAAATTAAACCCATAATGTTTGAACCACTCCACACTTCCTTACATATATCTGAAACTTGTCTCATCTGATCATTTCTCACTCAAGTAAAAAAATATATATATATTAAGATAATTTATGGCTTTTAATCAAGTTTTAAGTTTCAAATGATAGGAATTAAGATCAGAATACCAAAGCCCCAATTGCTTCATGACTTCAACGTAAAGACTTCCATTCAGCCCCATCCTAGTTATAATGCTTCTCTCTTCAGCCATCCCTGGTGTTATCATAATGCTATAAACTGATTTCCCATATCTCCAGCATGATAGAGCAAAGCAATGATGGCACAAACAAAGCAGAGCCTGCTTTGAAACAACTTGAGAGGTTCCCTCCCCCCCCCATTCCTTCTGAAGTTTGAATGACAAAATTCTCTTTAGACACATGACAAATATGTAGCAATGTCTGCATGGCTCCTGGGAGAAACCACAGCTTGTAAGGAGGTCAGGGAGCATGGATGCATCATGTGAATAAAGAGAATAGAACCACCTCCCTCATAGGTAGCATTCTATTCTAAACTGATGCTAAAGCACACATTAACTTTAGACAGTTCACATTACACATACAGAAATATTGTAACATAAGCAGGAGAAGCTTGACAGGGCAAGAACCCAGGACAGCAATTAGCTACAGACACAGAGGGCATCTCAATGGGACCCAGTACAAGTTTAGTCTAGCGTGTCACAAAAGTCTGCAGTTCTGCTGCACAACAGCAACTAAACATTCTGATTTTGGTGCCCTTTGTCAGTAAGAGCATACACTGAAAGCTAGCTAAGCGGGGATTCATTACATTATACGTCCAAATATTATTCACCAAAAGTGAGCCCAATTCTCAGCTGATGCTACCACAATTCAAGAGAAATGTAGTATTAATAATTGTTTTTTTCTCCTCCCCCAGAAATAAAACACTTCTTACGCTGGGACTGGGAAACCACTTTAGCCCGGCTGCGGCCTCGGGTATCAGCAGGTGTTGAGGTGACGCTGGTGGCACTGCCAGAGCTCTGCCTCCTTGTACGAATCCGACCTGGAGGAATGCAAAGACAAACTGTTAATAGGTTTCTTCCAAAGGCAACAGCCGTTTTCAAAGCACCATCTGTTCTAGGCTCGCAGTGCTGCTATGCACATAACTAAACAGACTCAGAAGGCAAATTTTACAGGGAGACACGATGAAGAACGAGGGGATATACAGTGATGGTCCACACATCCAAAACTCTTTTTGCTTTCAGTAAAGCTATCAGCTGGCTCGATTAAAAAAAAAAAAAAAAGTGATCTCTTGTGCCTGTGCTTCTGTTCTGCAGTACCTTCTTTCCTAAAGAAGGGTCATAAGAAAATTCAGTTATCTAACCGCGACTCCTATGTAATTACTTTCTGATGAGGCGATCCCCCTTTCGCAGACAGGCACAGCAGCCGCAGCCACAAATTCCATCGCTGGGATTTGCGGACAGCTCGGTGCTTTCCGTCCTGCTCTCCATGTGCACCCAGCACGCACTGCAGTGAGGCTGCCAATGCTGCCCAGCTACGCTTTCATTTCAGCCCTGTTCACATCTCCCCGCTGTTTACTGATCCCTTGTATTTATACTGAGATCAGTGCAACTTTACTAGTAACGGTGATTCCCCTTTAACACAATGAACATAGTGGAAAAAACATTCCATGGTCTGCCCTTTATTTAGGCAGAGAATGGATACAAAGTCTCAAAGTGTTCTTGGTCCTTTTTCTGTCCTTTCCTCGTGAAAAAGCCACAGTAATTTGAGCTAGAACAGCTTACGAGGTCATCAGTTCACCCCCTTCCTGCAGCAGAGCTGTTCCCCTCAGAATGTTCTTTCCAGTGCTAAGGTTCAATTATCAGTCTCTAGCTAATGGGAAAGAAATGATAATTAAGAGTAACACAAAGAAAGCCTCCACCAGCACTTTCAACAACTCTGTTCTCTGCCAAATCTGAAGCTGTTTCTCAGGACCAACGCCAAGGCTATCCTGCATTCAGAGGATGATTTCAAGTTGCAGGCATAATAATAAAAGGAAAAACACAACAGGTAAGATAACAGTCTTGACAACTGCATCCACCAATTAGATATTTATCTCCCACCCCACATATCCACCATAAGCAAAGAAACACAAACAAGGAGATATATACCTCCCACCCAAAAACCAGGGAAGTTTCACGTGGAGAACAGGGCAATGGCACGCAGCCCCAGGCTGCGCAGAATGGGAGCTCTGTTCTTTTGCCTGAGCTCTCAAAATACTCATAACACAGGCTGCATCTTTCTGATAGACAAAGTGACAAAGAAAACTTTGAGAACAAAATCTAGATTTCTTTTCAGGGGGGAAAAAAAAAAAAAAGGCATATGTACTTCACAATACACCTCATTTTAAAATCAAACTGGCAGGCTTAAAGAGCTATTCTAAAGCCAGCTAAGATGGACTGAGCCAAGATGAAGCAAGCCAAGAAAGACTATATTCAAATCATTATTTATAAATGTGAAAGTAAAAATGAGTAGCTCAAAACCAGGAAGACACAAACAAACTGGCAGCTGTTGGTGTACAAAGCAAACAAGAAGTTTAACTCAAGCAGTTTAAGGAATCAATAATGGAATTGACCATCCATCCTTCCACAATGCCAGCAGAAAGCCTGTAACACAAACTGGAATTCAAGGCCCAGTAACAGGCAGCACTGGCAAGCACAGTGATGTGCACGGGCCATGGATGGGTCAGAAGGGACTGATGCTTCCTTCTATGCATAGTCTACTGTTCTCACACTTCTCACAATTACCTGGTTTTCCTGCATCCACAAGATCACGGTGGGGTTTTTTGGTTTTTTTGTTTGTTTGTTTGTTTATTGGGTTTTTTTTTTTTTTTTTGCTTCATTAAGTATTAACTAAGAACAAAATTGAGACAAAATATAGCGACTGCCCAATCTTTAGGAAATAGAAAACCAAAAATAGTACATAAAGAAAAATCAAGATCTGCTTCTGATGTCAATTTTTTGGACTTCAACAAAAAACTGAACCAAAAACTCAAACTAAATTAACATGCAAATAGCAGCAAGATTAGAAAGTACTCAGTCTTATTTTGAAATCCCTAAAGGTCAGCAGAGAGATGCCTACAAGTTCATCAGTTTCTGAAACAATGAGCAAGATATTGCTTCATTCTGGGCTAGTAGATTTTGGCTTGAACCCTGATGTGACCCAGAATGTATCAGGGAGAAGACTGGGAAAAAAAGTGTCTCTTGAGAAGTTACAAAGTTTCATTAATTTACACTAATCCACCAGACAAAGATGGAGAGGGATGTGGGGTGTTTCACAAGGTACCTCATCTCCACACACACACGCACAGTCCGTGAATTAGTCTTACAATATCCAAAACGTACTTTGCTTTTGTAATAAAGCAAAATGAATCAGTAACTACCTGAGTGGAAAAATCAAGGTTTTAAGGTTAAGTTTTCCAAGTACAGTATACATGTTAAAATGTTCATTTACACAATGCAAATGTCTCTATTACATTTCCTTAAGCATTCCATCTGCAAACAAGAGTCTGCACGCGTATCCACACTTGCACATAGGACTGTGTCATTTAATCCCTATCATTCTACTGCTGACAAAACATTTCAAGACCAGAAATAACATAGCAAAAGTTCGGCAGACGTTTTGTTGTTGTTTAACGCAAACAAATCCAACTCCTGAACACATCTTTGCTTTCAAAGAGGTTTGTTTCCATACTCAGCTCAAACTGCAGATGCAGCAATTCATATTTTATAGCTGATATTTTTTTGCTCTTCTTAAAAGTATTACTTTAATCTGAGAGCAACAGCACAGCAAATGAACAGATAAAGTCTGCCCCAACTAGTTTCCAAAAAGCATTAAAGTGCTACCATTCAGAAACGCCTTTGATCTAAGTTTGACATGCAAAGGTGACACTCTGCTGGTACAGAAAGTATTTTGGAAGACTCCACATATATGTTTTCTGTTAAGAAATCATTTGTAGGCTTTTTGTTTGTTGGCCTTTTTTTGCTTGGTTGGTTTTGTTTTTTGTTTTGTTTTGTTTTTGTTTTAAGTTACTGCCATTTTTACAACAATTAATGGATCAGAATCAACTTCGAGGTGTCTAACACATGCCTAAATCTAGCAGGGTCTTAAAAAAAAAAAACACAAAAAAACCCCACAAAGACAACAACAAAGGAACAAGTAAAGTAATTAGTGATTAGGAGCAGCTTCGCTCAGCAGCACTGTTCTGAACCCTCCTGGGTGGATACTACTGCATCACCACTCCATGACTCAGAACAAACACAGGCTTCATGAGATTCAGCTTGAGAAGAAACTGCTTTTCTACTACTCCAGAAATCACAGATAGTATATAATAGACCCACAACTAAGTTTAATCAGTTCTGTGCTGTGAGTAACAATGGCTACAATCACACAAGTTATAAGCAGAAGCACTGGGATGGTAAGGGTATCCATCATGGATCAGTTCATGCATTCCCTGGGTTTTTTCCTCAACTTGGAAAAAGAGAAAAATCCCAAAAGAGCCCCTGAGACCACCGTAGGTGTACATGTATCACCACCAAATGACACAATTGTGAAGAATACACAGTTATTTGATTTGTATGTAAACCTATAAAAATATATCCTTCTTACAGTATGCAAGGTACAGGTTCCATACATAGCACAAATCCAACACTACCAGTACATGACCTGACTTCACAGCACAATTTCCCCTGATGCACACCCTACCCTTACCATAAACCATCAGTATATGCTATTGTTTGGTTTTGTATAAGATCTTCTGACTGAGCAAAAGCAGCATGGTGCTGCTCTACACCAGTATGCACAGGCAACTCATGCCAGCACTTGCAAAGGGATCAACCAAGAGAAGAGAAAAATCTACTACCTGAGCATTTCACTTTAAGTTACCATGTTCAGTCATATCTTCGAGTTAAACCTTGTTGCTGAGGACAATGAAGAGCTTTAAAGCAGAGAAGAAAACAAGAACAGTCATTTCTTGAAACTGTTATCCAAAGCCTTCATTAAGGCTCAAGATGCTCGATCTTTTAAAGTCCAAATTATTTGAGAGCAATGATAAATCAGACTATTTTCTTTCTGGAGTGTAATAAATATTATTAGGAATCGTGCCACTGAGTCTGGAAACTGCCAATTGTTAGTTATAAACTTGTCAGTTTGGGGACAGTCTTGAAAAACTTCCATGATAAAACAAGAGGAGACTTCTCTGAAGTTTCTGTTTAGTCATATACAAAAACAAGGATTTAGAGCACAACTGTTACTTGGATGGCACAAGCTGTAAAACCCCCATCAAGACTGAAAAAGTTTAACTCTTACAGGCTTTCTGCCTACTGAACTCTTCATGACATTCTGGAGACACAAAGGGTCTGGGTTATCAAAACATACCCTGCACGAAGACACAAACTCACAGCACACAGGCAAAAGATCTATCCAGATTAAAGTCGTATACAGATTCATGATATGTTATGTGACATGATATGTCACACAGAAGAGCACTTTTGCAGCATTTGCTAACTGAGGTGACACTACTTAAAACCAAAGAACCAATACTCTCCTCAGCTTGCCAGTGGCAACAAGCCACTTTTATCTTGCTCCTCTTTTAAGATGCCTGGCTCAAAACCAAAACACTAAGGAGAACCAAGGGCAGAGCAGATGGGAACTGCCAAGTTCGCACAATGCTGGCTCCCAGCTGAGGGGAAGGTGCAAAACTTCTACACTGCAGCTACAAAAAGCCATGATGGGAGCCAGATTGCAGATTAAACAATGCTGAACGACATGCACATGCACACAAACATACAGAGGAAAAGAAAACAAAGATTTGCTCTTGTAGTAGATACTAGTAACCTGCAACAAAACAGAGGTACACATGCAAAAGGAACTTTTGCTTTCTGTTCAAAGTTCATCTCCTGCCCACACTGCTATTTCCAGAAAAAAGATCACACTTGGATCTGCTAATTTTCATTTCTAAGAATATAAAGTTCTGCCTTCTCTACACTCTGCAAGATCAGGCAAAAGGCCCCTCTCCACACCCTCATCTGAAGGACACAACAAATTGCCATCTGAAGGCTGTTTTTTGCTGTGACAAAGAGAAACAAAGATCACAATGAGTTTCAACCACTGATTAAACTCGTCCAGGGCTCTGGCTGTGGTGTGCCACAATGCTATAATCCTTTGTGATCCCTGCTCCCCTCACCAAAATAGAATCCTACAGCAAAAGAGATGAGATCTCGTATTTAAGGTAACAAAGGCAACAAAAAGCAATTTTTGGAAGTTTATTCCCCCATCTCCCCCCCCCCCCAGCAAGTGACTGGCTGGTTTCTATTACAGATTTTTTTTTTTTTTTAACCAAACCACATCTGTATCCAGTGTAGTCAAATTGGAGGAAAACAACCCTAATCTAAAAAGTATTCTGCATAGTGACAATAGAGCATTTAATAAACTAAAAGTGAGGGCATACCAGAGGACAGCTCCCAGAACAGACCTCCACAAACACCATTACAGTCCAGGAGAGGATCTGTACGTTGCATAGGCTATTTCATAAATTTACACAAAACATTCAGTGTTTCTACATTAGGGGAAAAAAAAAAAAAAAAGAATTTTTGAAAACTATGGAGAAGAAAAGAAATGAAAAAGAAAGATCAGCAAATTAAAAAAAAGCTAAGGATTAAAACAGCTTGGAACTTTCATTTAATCTGACACTGACTTCAGTACAAGCATTTAGGCCAACTTCATATTCCTCATCACTGAGAGATCATGAAGGATAAAGAGCTGTTCATGATTCTGAACCAGTCCACCTTCCAGTCATAAGTTTAAGAGCCAGTTCTGGAGATGGTAGACACTTCTCCCACTACATATTAAATCGATGCATCAGTAATAGGAAGGAAAGAAAATACGTGATAACAGCACAGCGGCACTTCTCAGAACACCACATCCAAATACAAGCACTCATCAAGGATACTGACACAGTCCCATCAAACAGTAATAGATCCCTTGAAAAGAGACTTCTAACAGGAAAAAATTGGTTGGGCTGGGAGGAAGTGTCTTCATTATGTGTAGAAGGCCTTGTTTTCAATCCCTGTCTGCCTCAAAAAAAAATTTCCCAGTGATTTTGTTTTGCTTGAGAAGAAGAATAAGCTTTGACAAAAAGCCAGACAGCCAACCAGACTGCAGGCCTTCCCAAACTAGCAGGCTCAGTGTTCTTGAAAGAAAAAACTTTCCTCCAACTGTTTTAGATGTAAGCCATCTCAGTTAACAATAAAGAGAGAGAGCTCAGGTTTAAAGAGGGTGACTAAATGCTCCTTCCCTAGAGATCATTGTTTACTGTCCTCATTTTTCTGCCATGTGATCATCTCATTCAATTCTCTTGCTGCTCAGTCTCTTCCTGAAAGCATTTGGCAGTTGTGACCTGAGCTTTGGATGGAAAAACACAGCAAACCTTTACACAACATGGAGTAAGAAAACACAAGCCCTGCTTTTGCAATCTGTGCTCAGGTCACCGTCAACCAAAAGCGCTGCTGTAAATAGGAAGACACACATGCAATTCTGTGATTAGAAATCAGTCATGAAACCAGAATAGTGCCATTAGCAGGGAGCAGCTTGAAGAGAAAGTGAAGAACACCCCATGGCATCAAAATGAGCAGGACAACCATGCAACACTTCATGCAGGTCACCAGTGAACATGGATGAGAATCAGTAACACTTTGAGAACAGACCAGGTAGAGTGGTACGACTGTAGACACATCTCAGTTACATAGAGAGACTGCTTACCCTCAGTTTTAGTAGTAGTACCATCTTTAAGCAAATTAAAAAAAAATAAGGCAAGGATTAATAGGGAAGAATTATTAACATCAACAGAAATGGGCACTATATATTAGCTAGAGAAGTATGGAAAACAAATTAACACAAACAAATGCAAGAAGTTTGAGCAATAAATTAGAGCTTGATGAATCTGTAGAAAAGGTTACAAGTTTTTCTTCCCACATACATCTAATGTTTGTCAAACCCCACTTTCTTTGTTTGCCTCACCATTTCTCTCATGGAGACGCAAAGATAGCAAATATCCCTGCTGGCTCAAAAGGAAACAGACAGACTCCTTTAGGAGCAGCCATGCTTGCATAACGTGAACAAACACTGCGCGTTTCCTGGTTTTCTCTTTCAGTGCCTTAAGAGCAACAGTAACACTGTACTCAGTTTCCAGGCTTCAAGGACAAAACCAGCTTTTAGATTTTCTTCCCCACTTTCTGTTCTTCTTTGTGACATACATCAGTGCAAAAGCATATTTGCCATTGAAGCCAGCACACCATGTATCTAAAGGGTGGCTGTGTCCTTAAGTTCTGAAAGCACATTTTTAAGCAATCAACTTCACGGATCTGTATTAAGTGCTCACTGCAGTGCATCTAAATCTTGAACTAAATATGAACTAGCAATATAAATCAGAATAAAACATGAACTTCTGAAGCAAATACAACCAATACATTAAAGACACTATAAAGGACTTCAGATACAGAAGAAATATATCTACAAAGGGAATCTATGAAAAGCATCCTTCTTTAATCTGAAATAAGATCAAATGCTCAACACTAAGGAAAAACTACATTTCAGCTGACTCAAAGAAAGAATGAAGGCTATCTGCACAGCTAAAATCAAGAACACTGACTTTGACACTCACTAGGCATCCAATTTTTCTCCTTCTTGCGAAGGTAAAAATCAATAAAAACCTCAAGAATTAGATTACTATGCAATCTGCAGAATTATTTGGTGTTGGTCACTGCCTTGCACTTCCTACTTCAGCAAATTAGCAGCATCATCTCCAGGAGAGAAAGATCAAATGCAAACTTTGCTGTAAGAAACACTGGTGGGTACCTGACAGCGATACACAGTGCTTGGACAAAATAGCACAGTGTGGCTATAATCCAAGAAGAGTCAGCAATATCTTACATCCCAACTGTGTGATGAAATGAGAAGGCCTGCTTTTCTTTGCTTCTGTATCTTTTACAAAATAAAGTAATCAAACTCAACAAAGATGTACTCCTCAAAGCACCGAACAATCCATAGAAAACAAGTGTCAAGGAAAGGAAGGAAGGAAGAAGAAGAGAAGGGAAAGAGACAGAAGGAAATGTCAGAAGTAATAAAGCACTAAGCATTTTCCTCAACAGCACCATGGAACCAGAATAAGATCTACTTTTCCCCAGAAAGAAGGCTGAGACTATCAAAACAATTCACAAAAATGGAAAGTTGTTCCAAGACAGTTCCTTCGCAAATTTTTTGCTTAATTCCAAAAAGCAAGAGGTCACACATGTACGCCCAAGAACTGTTAGCCAGCTCAGAGAAATGTTCTTCCAGTTACATTTTGTAACTGTTTGACATTCAAATCAAGTTACCTAGGCAATTCCTGAGAGTAAAGAAAGCTCACTGTGACAGTAGAACATATAGGTTTACCTAGTGATGCATATGAGCCTGGGGGCAGGGCTGCAGCAGAACTGAAGGGGGTGGATGCTCCAGAAGATGTCACTTTTGACTTGGCACTAGCTGCTGCATTCACATCAACGTCACTGCGGGATCGCTGCAGAGATCCTGGTGTTGACACAGATTTTGTACTTACTGTAGATGCTGCAGATGGGAGTGGGAGACCCAGATTAAAGAGATTAATTTTTTGAGCTGTGTGCTTCAAAGAGCACAGCAAGCAGTTTAACGTACTATTTTTAACTCTCTCTAATTGCACTGAAATACTTAAAGAATGTCTTATTAGGGTAATGTGGGTTTCCCCACAGTGACTGAAAAGACATTTCAAGAACTTCATCAGACACTAAACCTAAATGACAAGAAAAGGCCACCAGGCCAGCATTACAACAAAACTCAGGCAGAGTACCCATCACCAGCTTGTGAGCTGCCATCTAGAAAAGACTCACAAAGATCCTTCAACCTTTATACATTGCTGGAAGTACCTTCCTTCTCAAAGCATCTTCTCATGAGGATCACTGTTCCCCCTATTCCATGTTATTTACCCTCTCAAGCAAAAAATTTGCCTATTCTGCTGCAAGCATGCATGCATTTGTGGGCACAATAAAGTAGGCGCCACACAAAATTCTCCTTGGATCCAAGGTGTCAGCAAAGTACGCTGACAGGGGCAGAAGGTGTCTCTGTTATGCTCTGTATTCAGATGTACTACTTAGGTTATTATATATGCATATGCTTAAGACAGGAAGGTTGTCTGCATTTGTCGACAGGAAAATACAGAAGCATACAGGTTGGGTTGGGTATATGAATGAAGAAAACAAACATGCCTATTGAATAAGGAAACATTTTTTTCTCATGTATTCCCTTGTTGCTGCACTTATAAAGCAAAATCAGCAACTCTTAGTCACACCCAAATATTCTACTGGTAAAAATATATTAATCAGAAGATGGAATTTAACACTGTAGGAATTCTGTGCATACAGTGCCTCCAATGAGTGCTGAAACCATAAAAAACAAGTGAGAGAAAAGTGTAAGGGTGCATGCTAGGTAGACTACTTAGCTGCATGTACTAGCATCAGTAGGAGTCAATTCCAGCTATTTCACCCCTAAACTTACCTTAGCTACAATTTTTAAAGCATTTTAGCCTTCCTTCAGGTGCAAGCAGCAACAAAATACAAGCTTTTAAAGGCATCACTGCATCACATGCCAGTGTACAAAAATGGGTGTACAATCCAGAGCTGATTAAAAACTACATAATAAGGTGCCATTTTTAAGGAGTAGTAAACAGAAAAGTTGTCCTTTGCACACTATAGTACACAAAATACTCATTTTACTTCTTCACAATTCCTCAGCAACATCTCACCGCATTTTCAGCTCCTATTCTCACCTCTTGATGTAGTACTTCCAGTAGGACTTCTTTTGGCAGACAGTGGACGGCTGGAAGTTAATATAAGTATTTATTAAAACAAAACTGATATATCACAGTCAGCAGTAACAGTGCTTCTCTGTTCCCTCAGTACATAACTGAGTTAACAGGAAGTTATTTATATTCAGGAATAGACTAACAAAGCTTACTTTTTAAAAATATAAATACAGCATCGTTTTGAAATTTTCTGTGAAAGAACTAAGGACTTATGTATGTTAATTGGGAAGTGATCATTAAGAACAGGCTGTAGGTTTAAAAGGTTGTATCAACATTATGGGTATTTTTCAGGTATCTTCAGTTGCAGATATTTGCAGCCGAAGTTGATCATCTCTTTAAGAGAAGCAAGAATACATACATGTATCAGAATAATGCATTTTATTTTAATATAATGTAAGCTAGATCTTAGTATAATCTAGTGTTGAGGCCACCGATAACCAGACGAGATAAGCAAAGCACAGAGTACCCAAAGCAGCTCCTGTGAATTTGAGGAAGCAGTCACGTTAGCTCTGCAGTTGTTTAAACCAGGAGAGAAGTAACGATGCCCAGTGACTTACTTGAGACTCTCCTGGGAGCTGGAGGAGGAGCGATCCGACTGTGGCAAGGACACAATGCTGTCAGAGTTCTTCAAATGCGACTGCAGGGCCTTCTGGTAGGAGGACTCCAAGGTGTGGTACAAATGGTCTGCCTCTCTGCTGAAGTGACTGTGGAAACCCCAGTAACACCTGGGAACAAGGCACGATGCTGTTAATATTTCCTTGCCACATTTTAAAGGTCAGTGAAGCACAGGTACAGTCAGAGCCTTTTTCACTAATGGCTGCTTAGTCCAGACATTTCAATCATCCACAGCCTCCATGCACTTAAGGCATACCACTGAGTAACAAGATTGCAAGAATGACAGCCTCACAGAAGACAAACAAAAATAACAAAAAGGGGAACTTACCACCTGGGGCTCTGTACAACATAAATTACCAAAAAAGCTTTGTCACAAAGGAAATTCTCATATCTCTCCAGCTGTCTACCATACATAAGTGACAGACTGAGACTAGAACCATAACCAGAATGAAGTTAGCATAGGACTAGCTGATCAACAGACAGTTCAAAAACAAGCCAAAAGCAGAATACACATGCATGGGTCTGATTCAGGAAATCACCAGCAGGTGCTTTCTTCCTCAAGTTTAACAAATAGCTCTCATGCATCGCTGCAGAGAGAAATCTTTTGTAGAGTTAAGGCTGCTGACTATCTTTTGGGAAAATTAAAGAATAAGATGCTTCAATACACTTCCAATCAGTACCATACTGAAAGTAAAAGAGCATTTAAAGTAGGAATTCCTCTCTGGTCCTCATCTCCTGACTGATGCTAAAACACCATTCATTCTCATCACAAAAGAGATGAAGTCTCTCAGCGCTTTTCAGGGGCCAACTAAGGGGCAGTTTGAGAGCAAGACCATTAGCTCAAATGAATCAAGAATTGTTTGTATGAGACAGTCAGTTCTCAGAGAAGTCACATGCGTTCTCACAGCAGTAAAAGGAAACAAATTTCTGTCTTACACACAGTAATGCTTAATTAAGAAACATGGGAAAAGAGAATTAAATTTGTTTTCTAAGGTTTTATTCCATTTTCCTTGCTGCCTTTTCAGCTTAACTAGTCACCCGCTGTGAAACCTCAGTGGATGCTGTATTTTTCCAGTAATGCAAACTTTCCCTTTCAAAAGGATTTCAACAGTCCTGCTGTAAAACACCTCTGCTTACAATATAGCATTTAGATTAACAAAATATATTGTTTAGTGATTTCTTATTTAACAGCATCCTCTTTCTGAAGAAAGATGTCCCTGTTGTCTTCTGAACAGAAGATCACGATCCCAGTATAAGAGCACACTATCTTAAATACAGACATTGTAACAAATGCAAGGGATCTTCAACAGAAAAAAAAAAACTAATTACATTCTCTGTACACACAAAGATATAGTTTCACTGTCAAAAATAATTCCTCTACTTAGATAATATTTAGCAGCATACCAGCATAGAGACTTTTATTTCAAGAATAACAAATACCACAATATTGTACGTAGGTAAAAAGAAAAGAAAAAACAACAGAATAGCTTTTTTGCAATCACTTCATATGACATCTTCTACTACCTATTCCCTTTGAAAGGGAAGAAGTGCTAGCCTCAGTTGCCAGAACATTACTTATCTTTCAGAGTCTCCAACATGTAATACCATAACTCACAACATAAAGAAAAGGAAGAAGAAAAGGCAACAATAGCTTCTACTTACTTTCTTGCTTCTATCCTGGCTTCAGAGTCTGCATCATGAATTCCCTTCTTTATTGTTTCAGCTAACACTGATATGTGTCTGAAATAAGAAAAGATACATGGTCCAGCAATCCAGACCAGCACACTACCTTTACAAACAACTAACTTGGCTTTCCATAGTGTCCCTGAACAGAGTTCTTCCCATTTCCACTCCATACATTTTGTAGCTCCTACTCTTCTAAGTCAGTTTAATTTCATTCACACTGCTGAGTAGAAAAAGGCAAGCAGCATTCTTCATTGGTCCATCTTTAGTCAGGTAGTTGAAGCTGCCTGGGTCTGAAAATACTTTTCTCAACCCTTATGAAGTCTTGGTCAGCCAAGGGCTAAAGAAATTGGGTCCCAATAGGTATCTCACAATTTCTTCTACTGTTCATTAGTCTGAACTACTTTACAAGCCTCAGATGCTCGGGATAGATGTATAGCAGCCATCACCTCATCTTCTCACTTTAAGGTGCAAAAGGAAAAAAGATTTATCAAGTTCAGAGACTCGTTCAGACAGGTTTTCTAGGGCTGGCATAAGAAACAGACTCGCTGAACTGTGGCTGCCAGAACTACATGGATGAATTGCAAACATGCACACACACAGATGCTTTCCTTGCCACAAATATATTTATTACTAGAACTCTGTGAATCTCACCTCTAAGACTATTCTTTCTACAGACCTCACCTCTCAGACATTAATAGGCTAGAATTAACTTCTCTGTTTTCAGAGCTTACCTTTCTAGGGAGTGGGTTTGCCACTCTTGCAGCAGCAGGTCTAAAAATTCAAAACAGCGCCTGAGAAGAAAAAGGAGAAATGTTGAGTTCTCAAAGTGAAGAGGCACACTGACTTCATCATACCTGCCTCTGCACAGTAGTCACCTTTTGTTATGATGGTTCCTCAGGACATTATAATTCAAGAAGAGCCACAACAGAAACATCAAGAACTCTACAAATACTGTCAATAAAAAGTGCAAAGTAACTGGATTCATCTCTCTAGAGGGTCTCAACAGAGAGATGTAAAACAAACCAAAAGGCACCCTTAGATAATGGCAAAGAGACAAATTAGAACCACCCTGTACTCACAAGAGTTCAAGCTTCACAAGGAAACTCTGCATCTTGCTTCTTTTCAGCTTCGCTCTTCATTATTTACAGAAAGGAAGGCATTTGTATGATGTGATTTTTTTCAAGTTTTCTCACAAAATTCATCAACTACAAAGACCTTTTCATTTAACTAGAGAAAAAAAGAATCAATCTGTATGGCACAAGCAAGAGTCTCCCAGCGAGGCTGGCAGAGTGTACCACACCTTGATTTTAAATGTAGAGGGAGCTTGTATTCCCCAGCAACACCACAGAGCAGCATCTCTGCTGACAGGCTCAAAGAAAATACATCACTGCAAAGATTAGTAGTGGGGAACAAAAGCATGTCTGTGGAAAAAAAATAATTTTAAAAGCTAATGTGAAACTGTAGGTAAGCAGAGAGATTAAAGAACATGCTTCTTTCAGAGAAACTGCCTTTTTCTCTCAGCGATGCTGCATCTTACGTATAATAGCTGATTTTGAATTTGTTCCCAGCTCACTGGGGAGAATAAGACGAATTCTCTGGAGCAATGTCTGTAACAGCTCTTTCCACAAATAAAAACAAATATGATTTTTATCTAAAGTATACACAATTCTATTTACTGGTAAACTACAGCACGACTTCAAACTAAATGCTCACCTTCTAACCGCAACAGACTTGGAGGTACAATTGCTGGTTATGATGGGTATTAGTCGGGGGATGTGTGTATGCTGGAACAAAAGAAAGAACAAAAACAGGAAGAAAACTTTATAGTTCCGTGGAATGAAAAGTAATTTGCAGTAGACACCTGAGCTCTGTATGCTTTTTTTAAAAATCGAACTGCTAAATAAGGAAACACTTCTGAATGTAGACAGATTCTTCAATATATACATTTTAACAGTAAAAATACTTTCAACAGATTTTATTTTTTCTTCTGCCAAAGAGCTGGAGTCATTTCAAGAGGATCTGAACAGTCAGTGTTTACAGCTTAAGAGTTGTCAGGCTATCGCAGGTTCCCTAGCAGAAGCCACCTCTGCAACCTAACTGTTTTAGGCAACATATTCTATCTCTGAGGAGTTTTATAGCATACTAAGTCTGTATTGCAAGTCAAGATTTAAAGCCAATTAAAAAAAATTTGCTCATCTCTGAGGGATAGAAATACCTCACTCTATAAAGAAACATTTTTCTTATCACTTCTGCCACTTTTTCCTGCTATGTAAGAATGGCTTACTTATCATCATCTACCTACACAAGGCTTTATTACAACTGGAGACAGACAAGCCTAGCTCAATCAGAAGAGTAGATTTGACATTTAATCAAACTTTCATGGCAGTAACATCCATATTTTCTCAGAAACATCATAGCATTTGGAAACAATGAGATGTTGTTCTCTTTTGACTGATACTTACTCGAATGATTAATCTAACTGCTACAACACCAGAAGTGGCCATGACTTTGGCACTATTTGGAATTAGATTAAAAATTGTTGGCATAATGGCTTCTGCCCCATGATCAAACTTGTTTCCCAGAACTGATGATAAATGTCTGTAAAACACAATGAAGTCATACTGTTAAGAGTGCTGAGGATTAAGCAAGTCAGATTTCTACAGAACATAACATCAGCACATGTAATATCTCACTCTTCACAACTGTCACCTCCTCTCCAACTCTAAAGGACAGAGCAATTTGTTTTTGAAATAGTTCCTTTCATTTCAAGTTCATGTTCTTCGTTGAACTGAACTGTGAGAAATATTTACTAACAAACAAGTGTGACAGTAATAACAGAACTATTTCTCCAGACTTGTTAGTTTCTTTGAAGTGATCAGTTCTGCATCATATGCATGAATTTCCACAAAAAATACTGTTAGAAGCACTACAAGCTTTTTCTTAAATCATTTCATTAAGAATAAAAAAATCAAAAATATAGCTCAGTCTGAACTAGAACAGAACTCATTTTTGCATCTCTCAATCACTAATGTTTAAAACTCAACAATATGGGTTTGTTCAACTACATGAACATGGTTTTAAATAGCCATAGCAAAATTTCAATCTATTAGTTAATTCTTGTGTCTTCTATCCATCATCTGTTCCATGTTCCTACAACCCATTTCAAGCATGTTTGGAAAGCAAACTTACCCCAGTGTGATACAAGCTTCCCGCACTACCTGAGATCGCAGGTCTTTAGCAGATAATTTAAATGCTCCATCCAGGAGCCGTAAGTGTTGGAAGAAGTTATCATATTCTGCAGCTCCAGCCAACAGTAAGGAGCGGATCTTTTTCAACTGTTGGCATGACAAAACAAAGCAGTGACTGTTAATGAGCAATGTACAGAAGGACAGTTAGGTTCAGAGCTTGTGTGTTGCTCCCAGGGTCCCTGTACAACCCACTTCTTAAAGAATACCAAGCAACTTTATTTCAGACCTTACATACAACTCACAGGTTAACATACTAAGAATACAAAGTAATATAAACACAGTAGCTAACTGTTACAGCAATCCACAAGTATTACATATGGCTTCTACAACTGTATTGTTGATGACCCAAACATTACTTAAGCCAACAGCTGTCAAAGGTTCATTTTTATTCCTCTTAGTATCGACCTACTTACAATAGTTTCTAAAAGCATAGAACCTCACATGGCCAGCTAGCATCTTTGAAAGATGGATTAACTCGAAACGCTTGACTTACACTCAGAACTGAGTTGTACTGACTTATATCTAGAATTTGTTCATTGACTTCATGAAAGTAAATAATTATATGGGCCTATTAGAAGTGCAACCCCTGACCTTACTAAAGCAGCGTATTTTCTAGTGATACTGGGACCACAATTTCTTCATAAAGAGTTTATTCTGGATATCTCCATGTGACCTCATGAATACAGTCCCTCTATTCAAGCTTACTACTCTCACTACAGCAAAGAAAAATGAAGCTGAATCAGCACAAGCTGATGCTTTCCTGTAATAGATGACTCGACAGACATGTCATAGCTGCTGTACCAGTGATCAAGTCTACTATATAGAAAAGTGTATGCATCTATTTGTATTATGCAAATGCTCATCTCAGAAAACAGTACAATCTTGGTATGCATACAACACTCACTTTTCCACTAATGCATTTCCTACATTTATAACCATTTATTCAAAATTTGTTTAAATTTTCTGAATTGTTTGCTTTTATTTCCGTTTTGCAAAAGTATAAGTGACCTGTCCACAGGCAAAATGACTTTCTGCCTCAACAGGAGGTTTTAAGAGATTCTGGATATCATTTTTGATATTTCCATCACACCATTTCAGCATCTGTTAGCAAATTCTAGCTTTACATCTAGATTGTCTGCATGACTTCCAGTTCAACCTGATGTTGGCTTACCAGATGCCTTTATATCAAAAACAGCATCTTCATCCAGAGACGTGGTTTAAACTCAGTCTCATAAGGAAATGTTTCCCCTAAGCTTGGGGAAATACAACAAATGTTCACCACTTAAACTGCAATTCAGTCTTAATCTGAGATTCTCTAAGCAAATTCTTTCATAAGATAAGCTCAGCAAAGGAAAACCTCATATTAATAGAGTTCATGACGAAGTTAACTACTTACAGCAGATACTCTCTGTTCCCAGTCATGTTTATCATCAGATAGTATCTCTCTTATTTTGTTTATGGATTCCTCAAGATCCCGGCTAGAATAAATCTGTAAATTTAAATAGAGTAGAATCATAACATGGGATTTGCATAATGCAAAAAATTTACAGAAATCTCCTTCAAAAATTATAACATGATCAGAGAATAACTAAAGGATTGTCATCTACTCTTTTACTACAGTTTCAGAATTTTAAGCAATATTTCTGTACTGCATACAGCCAAAAAAGTTAATGAGAAAAGTTAAAGTCAAATATATAACTGGCATCTACAATAAAACAGTCAGTAAAATGCTAAAATTCCTGCTTTATGGAAGAGATAACTGGATATGCTTTACGGAGCTAGTCAGCAATCACTGTGCATAACCAGGGAAAACTCATTCCCACATAGAAGTGAGACCTTAATCTAAACTGGTTATTAAAACTACAGGTACTAAAAACATGTATACAATTAAACAGACAGCCTGTATTGGAACACAGAAGAAAGCTGTCAAAAGAACAAAGCCAGTCAGTTTGAAAGCAATTTCACTGAAAATACACAAGTGTATCAAAAGAGTAAGGCTAACTAAGTCACCATCCTACCCTTCAGCCCAGGTTAGGTTCAAGGGTGAGCTGGTAAAAATCATGAGCACACTCATGTGGTTTTCTTGCCCCAGCAGGTAAACTGTGAAGGAGGAGAGGTGATGCACCCCACATACCAGCTACCTGACTAAACCTGCCACCAAGCATGCACTATTCCATCATAGCACTCAAAACAGCAGAGATCCTGGAGGCACAAATCACCTCCATTGCTTCCAGTTTCCATATAAAACAAATGAAACAGAGAGGCTCCTGGGGACTGGAACAGTGCTGTATGATCACACAAAACATCAACAGGCCCCATCCAGTGCCAGCTCCAGTATCTTCTCCTATGATGCCTCTATCACAAACCTCCTGGCTCCCTTCCCTCCGCTTCTGAGCACTTTACACCAATCTAATGGCATCTACCACCATTTTAAAGTTCAACCCCTACATCCTTCAACCTGCCTTTCCCTTAAGGAAGACTCGCCAGCATTCAAGCAAAGGGAGAGCTATCAGCGATAAGAACTGGACTCTACACCTATCTTTTGCTGTTCTGTGTTATGTACTTTAGCTTATAATTCTACTTACTTGAACTGTTGGGACATCTTCAAATGCCTTAATGAAGTCTTCTTCATCCACAGCACCTGCTCCCTCTTTGCCTGCTGACAAACAACAAAAAAGTCTTTTCGATGTTCTTATCAAGAGAATCAATTAAGAATCCACAAGCTATCTATCAAGGCACCTAATCAGGAGAAAGTTCACTATCCACACACAACCTCAGAGTGCTGCAAATGTAATAAAAATAGAGGCAGGAAAATTCAGTGCCAGGCACGAACTGCACATTTGTAGAATCCTTCAGCTCCAAGGCACAGAGGGCATACTACTAGTCATTATAGTAGTCACTCAACAGTTAGGGGCATAGTCTGAAAGATGAAAGGGAATATTTACTTTCATTATATGGGAGATTTTATTTTAAAGGATTTAATCCTATCTATAATAGATGAAGGTGCAGATCTTCTGACACCTGCACAAGCAGACAAACGATAAGGAAGATAAACAGTCTCTGGAATATTAATCACATTAGAAACCATGAAAGACAACTTCCTCCATTTCTCTAGATCTTATGTAATGACATTTAGAATTGATCACATTCCAAATTATCACTCCCTTCTTCTCTTTCACCTCCACTGCTAGCAATGCCTGAAGGTCTTAAAACAAAGTCAACATGTTTTAGCCCTTAAGTTTTATCACGTAGCTGTAAGCTGCCTGCATCAGTACAGCTGAAGAGTAACAGCCATAAAAACAAAAATTCAAATTATGCATCACTGACACGTTTCACCCAAAGCTCTCACTGCAAAATGACACAGTTCCAACCTCACACAAAGGCAGTGTATGCTAGAGGGATGTGAATAGTGTTTGCAGACTCACGTACATTGTACAGACTCACTTGCATTCAGGCAAACATACAAGTAACAATCTTACATGGGAAACAACTGCTTCTGGGTACCGGGAAAATGATATGGCCTGAAAATCCTGGAAATAAGCTCAAACATGAACACTACAAATATTCCATGTAATCAGCTTACTTGAGGACTTGGATCCCAGAGCTGCAGACCCAAGCCTGCGAGTAGTCCCCATTCCAACTCTACGTGAGTTTGCAGGGGCCTTTGATGATGTAGAGGAGTTAGCTGAGGAAGGTCTGTTCCCATCCACAGAGTCTTCATCATCAAAATTTTTATCTGCCAAAAAAAGAAAAAGCATAGTCAACCATATCAGGGATTTCTAAAGGAACATGCCAATGTGATGGCAAACACATTGCCTGGCCTGCTGAAACACGAGCTGGATCTGCTCTGCCAGTTTCCTTCTAAGCAGCTTCTTTATGATGGCAATCCAGTTATTCAGGAATGACCACCAGCCAATGAGACCATTTCTACACTACTGCAGCCACTACCTTATAAACCTTTCAATGACTGTGTTCTGACAGAAGAAACCACAAAACAACAAAAAAAAGATAAAACCAGAGCTAATACTTGAGCTGCCTACAGTCTATATCTCCAATTTATGTATTTGTTGCATGTAGTTTAACATGAGCTGTTTCGTAAAAAAAAAAAAAAAAAAAAAAAAAAAACCAACAAAAACAACAACAATAGACACGAGGAAATCCATGCATGGAAAAAGATCAGGAAGAGCCAGCTGCCCTTTCACACCATGCTAACTGCCTGCACAACATCAAGAACAAACAACAGACTAATCCAGGAAAGATCACATGGCAACACCTATGCTGCTGATAAGCCACAGAGGTTTCCTTTTGGGCCCATTAATCACAGACCCAACCTAAAGCTGTACATCCATTCTATGTTTTTAAGTTACCAGCAAAGCTTCCCTGCAACAAAGCAAGGAAACAGCAAACGATTATCTAAAATTAAAAAAAAAAAAAAAAAAAAAAAAATTAAGGTGAACTGAAACATATAGAATCCTTTGTATCCATCCAAAGGCCCTACTTCCAAACAAGACATAAATTAACTTCAAATGAATTACAGTCACTTTGATTTTCAGTGAAGGTCAATTCAATTCCAAAAGAGTGCTTATATTGCAGTTCTATACAAATTAGCTAATCCACTTTAAAAAATGGCCTTAGGTTGAGAGGTGACAAAACATTTGGACAGCTGATATAGATGAAGTGCATAATTTATTCAGGGTAGAAAAAGCCCCTCAGTCCCTCATCATGTAGCTTTTCCACACTAACATTTAATTCAGGATTTGAGACATGATCCATGCCCATCTCAACCCAGTGATTCATGGTATGGCCCAGTCTCACTGTTTCCTTTGAGAAATTTCACTCAACAAACACCACAAGCAGGAGCTTTAATCCATCCCTACTCAGGAAAGCAGCTGGGAGCATCAGGTAACCAATACAGGCTCCTATTGGACACTAATGACTAAAACTCAATACACGTTGAGCTTCTTGTTAGAAAAACTGGTAACAATAAATACACATTCTAGTCAAGTAAAAAAAAAAAAAAAAAAAAAAAAAGAGAGAAAGAAAAAAGACTGTATTGTCCTTACCCTTACTTTTCCCTCCCCAAAAAGGCTCATAACAGCTACATAGAGCTGTCAGAGTTTATCTGAAAATCTAAAAACTACATCTGCAACCTGTACATTTCTGCAGGATGGCACACTCCAATCACAGCACTGAAACAATACCAAGACAGCATCCAGGAAGTTAAGGAAGATGGCCAAAGATGCTTTCCCATTAATTTTAACATTCAAAAAGCCTTGGATTATGGCAAAGGAAAAAAAGAGTAACTTGTAAAGGAAAGCAGGGGCAGTAACAGGTATTTCAGTTGCTGCTCAGGCAGAAGTGAACAAGACAAAAATGAACACAAACTTTATGATTAAGAAATTTAAAGTCACAGCAAGAAATTCGAGGTCAACTTAAGGAGAAGAGCAACCATTACATTTAGGACATGGGATCCATCACACAGTGCCCTAAGGCAGCCATGGAGACTGTACTACTTCCCACTGACACTTGCTGGTTTGTTCTGACATACATAATTGAAAATATGACATTCTTAAAAAGAGCTCAGAGAAAAGCCATGAGAATGACTGGAAAATACATTTTTAATCCCCTGCAATGAACTTCCACTTAATTTGTTTACCCTGATCAGATGCTTAGCAAGTTGCTTGACTGTATTTGTTAACACAGCAGCTGAAGACTGCGTGTAGTTTTCCAATGTGATTTATTAGTGTTGTTTCTCCATCTAGTAGAAAAGGTGCCTTACTTGGCAAGTTCCGCTACAGGAGTATATTAAAAACACTGAATTCTGTAGGTTGTTTTTTCTTTTGCTTTCTTTGCTGTTTGTTTTTTGTTTGTTTGTTTTGTTTTTCGTTTCCCCTGAAAGATACAGCCTAGTTCAAACAGGAATTTTACTTCAAAAACGTTATTGGTCAGAGTTGCACAGAATGTCACGGTAGATGAAAATAAGACTCTAAAATGTGTGATCTCTGAAGCCTACAGAAAGGGGTTTAAGGGAGGATGATAAACTCATACAGACCTTGAATACACCCAGGCCAAATTCATCCAATTTACATTTATTTCAAATGCTTACATTTAGATATTAAGCAAATATTATTTATAATATATATTACCAGCCAAGAGAAAGTCAGTCATTCTCGGAAAGTACTTCATTACTTCAAAACCACTTTTATCTGGTAATGCAATTCCCCATCAGTTGCATTACAGGCTATCTAAACACTATTATTTAACTTACTTCCTCTTCTACCCGTACTCTTAAAACCCCTCCGAAAGGGAGTGAGGGTGTGGTTTGCTATTTTATAAAACATGCAAATTCAGAAAAACATTATAAAGATTGCACTCCTGTAGTTTATTTAATTGCTAAAATGCTATGTAAAACAGGCTTCTCTGAGCATTAGCTATAATCAACACACACAAAAAAGAAATACAAAAAACAACCAGCCCACAGTTTTGGATACGTTTAGGTTACAATCCCATCTCTTTTTCATTTAGCCTGCAAAAATATATATATAGTTATCAGAATAGTTCAACAGCCAAACAGCATTTTCTAATCTGAACAGTGAAGAGTAACAGAGCCACATTCAGAACTGCACACTAAGTCTTCCAGCAGCACGTGTGCAGGACAGAAAGAGAAACAAAGAACAGAAAGAAACCTGAACAAGAGATCAGAAAATAAGAGAAAAATAAACAATTATGCATTACCATGAAAAAGCCTTCTCCCCCCTTCACTGACTGGGATCACAGCAATCATTTCAACTAAGATCGTTGTGGGGTTTTTTTTTGTTGGTTTTTTTTTTGTTGTTTTTTTTTTTTTTTTTCAGTCCATCTGCAAACCACGAGGTACCAAATTCAGCATGGGTGTAACTCATCACGCTGCCAGAGGTGCACCAAAGCAGAATGTGTACCAGGCTGTAACATTAATATTTTCCCACCTTACGAACCCCCGGCGCTCATTTAGTGGGGACACAGCGCTCTCCGCCACAGCCGTGCCCTGATAAAAGAGACCTTTGTCTGCTCACCACTCCGCTGTCTCAGGGAAACAACACAACTGGCTTTAAATTTTTCAACTCCTTTACATTATTTAAGAAGAAAAGAAATGCTTACAAGTACATATCCTTCTGCAAATAAGCTTCCTCAACATTCCTTCATATTTTCCATAGCGTGCCCAGATGTAAGAGTGCTTCGCAGAGAGCCGCGGCTTTCAGTCCAGAGCATAATCAATCACTGCCCCCTGTATTCATTAAGCATGCTGTCTTCGCACATGGATTTAAACAGCTACGGCCTCAGTCCTCTCTAGCAGCTCTGTGGGATTCTCAGGAACATCCATTTCAGCCTGGGAACTGCAGTGCACTTGAGGAAGGGAGCAAGGGGAATGAGCAGCACACGCTGCAGCTGAGCTGCTCTGCCCGGCTGGGCTGGCTTGCACCAGGATCCAGCCTGGCTTTATCCCCTGGGAAGCGCTAACAGGAGCATCTCAACAGCTGTCATCATTTGGCCATGACGAATAAATTTAGTCATTATTCATTTTAGAATGTAACCCCTTCATGGCCTGGCCAAGGTGTAAAACAGGGCAAAGAGAGCATCAGTTGGTCACGAATTGCAGCAGATAAGGACCAGAGCTTTCTCTGCCTGAACCATCAACTGGGACCTTTTAAAGCCAAGTGTCTGGGGTTCAGACTCCCTCCTTGATGAAGTGAGATGCTTTCTGGCTTTTAAAATAGAAATCACCTCTGCCCATACTGAAGATGCCCTGCCACAGCCTGCAGGCCTGACCACAAGGCACCACACCTGTCCTCGCCCCACTGCACTCGTTTACCACATGCCCCAAATCCAAGCCTTGGTGCAGAAGAAAAGGGCTGGCAACTTTTACACATCTCCTTTGACAGCACATCTCCCTTCTCTCTTCACTTGTACACGAAATGTAAGCAGCTAAATCTTTATGTAGGCATCTAAGCGGAGTGGGCATGCAGAAGCGCTGTGTGCTCTGCTCTGGAGGTTTTCCACTTGGTTCTCAGCTCCTGACAGCAAGCTCAAAGGAGAACATTGATTTTTAATCAGAAAATATTATCGAACAGCATGCAAAACAGTAACTGTAAAAAAATCAAAACTCAGACATTTGCACCTGTAAATCACTCATTTCAAGACCGCTGTCAGCTGGCTGTACAAAAGCATTGCCACTCAGCACTCTGGTACCTCCTGCGAACAGAAATCAGCCAACACATCTCACATCTTACCACAACTGCTGGTCTCTGACAGCAGCCTCCCTCTGAGGTTCAGGTGAAGGCCAGCCCTGGCTGAGCCCTCCCTCCTTCCCTCCCTCACACACAGGGATAGCACCACTTGCTGATGCTGAAGCACTTCATTCCATGCTCAAGCCCTGCTAGCAGTTAAAGCTCAACTTTCTGAAGACCCAAGGGCCCTCTCTGAATTCAGAGGACACAGAATGCAAAGCCACCAAAGGCTATACAGTATGCTTCCAAGTCCCTCCTTACTCCTCCTCCCAACCAACAAAACCCAACCTGCATTTAGCCAATGTTTTTCAAGCAGCTTCCTTGGGCAACTCAGCCTCATCCTCATGTTCACAATACAGCGACGATCATCAACCTGAGATAAGGTGGTACTCAGTGCCAATCCAAGGATATCATGCCAGGCCAGTGGATAAATGTTTGGTTTTTATTTTTAACAGTCCTCCTAGTATCAGCA